TAGCCGCCATCCTTGACCCCGCCCTCCACTGGCCTCCTGGACCAATTGCTTGTGTCTTTTTTTTTTTAATCTCTCAAAATCATGCACTTCTCTCCCGACAACTACCCTCGTCCACCGGTCCCATCTGGACTACTGCAACTGCCGTCTAACTGGCACCCGGCAGCCTCCCAGGCTCCGCCTCGTTCGTTCTCCAAACTCATCCAAGGTGTTCCTAAAAGCCCGGATTCTATCACGTTGTCCTGGATTTGCCACGGCTCCGTGTGATCTGACTTCACTCTGACGCCTCTCACTCCCCGGGTTCCGCTACCTTCTTTAAGTCCACGGAGGATTCGGGAACTCCGCCGTGCAGATTTTGAATAAACCTGCAAAGCTTTATGCCTCTCCCCTTCCCTTTCACTTAACTTTATAAATTCTTCAGAACTCAGCAAAACGTCACTTACTTAGGGAGGTCTTTCCTAACACATCCTTTACTTTCCCGTTAAAGCATCCAATTTTAATTACATATTCATTTTTATGATTTATGTCGTTTTAAAAAATAGTATGTCTCCCTATTAGACTCTAAGCTGCAAGTGGGCAGGGCGATGCCTGCTGTGCTCCCTACGATGCCCTCAGCACCCGGCTGGGCACTTGCCCACTACAGATCCTCAAGTGTCTACTGAATGAAAAAATGAACGAATCCTTATTTTCCTTTTTTACTCTCCTTATTTCATCACTCTCCTTTCCCATCCGCATGAGTCTGGGAAGACACAGCAAGGAAGGAAGCAAAAAATAACAGAGATGACATCTTATAAAAAGAATGTCTAATCACTTTAAGTATATAAGAAATAAAAGCAAATAAATACCTCAAACAATTAAACATATATTAATAAAAATAATCAGCTAAGACTATTATCTTCCGTGGTGACCTCACCCATTTTCAAGGGCCATCACTTAGAGAGAAATGGTCCTAAATCTGTATCACGATCCCAGTCTACCCCTGAACCCAAGACCAGCATTTTCATCTGTCTCCTTGACTCACGTATCAACCGGTACTGGAACTCTAAATGCCCGAAATCAAAGTCATTATCTTTTCTCGATGTATCATTTTATTAAGTTTCTTATTTCTATGACTACCACCCTGGTCATCCATATTTGACACTTGCTATGTGTTTGTAATCTTCCTTTTATCTAGACTGCTCTCAGACGATGGCCAAGCATCTCTTCCTCTCCATCCATTTCCTGCATGAAGGCTCAGGCCTATGTCACAACAATGTCTAACTGGCCTTCTCGTTCCAATGCCCCCCGTGCGCCACTGCCATTCATCACCCCCCGTGCGCCACTGCCATTCATCACGCCAAAACACATGGCTGAACAGATCGCTCTCCTTCTAAAAAATTTCACAAGAGGCTGGGCACAGTGGCTCACGCCTGTAATCCCAGCACTCTGGAAGGCTGAGGTGGGAGGATTGCTTGAGCTCAGGAGTTCGAGACCAGCCTGAGCAAGAGCAAGACGTTGTCTCTACCAAAAACAGAAAAATTAGCCGGGTGTCATGGTGTGCTACTAGTCCCAGCTACTCGGGAGGCTGAGGCGGGAGGATCGCTTGTGCCCAGGAGTTGGAGGTTGCTGTGAGCTAGGCTGACACCACGGCACTCTACTCAGGGCAACAGAGCGAGACTCTGTCTCAAAAAAAAAAAAAAAAGCATCACAAAAATTACAACGCTACTAGTTCGGTATTTCTCAACATTTAGTCCATATCCCCTTTTGAGTAATGTAAAAACTCATATCCTTCAGTATTTTATATTACAGAAGAGATTTTTTCTATTCTTTAAATATAAAGTTATAAGATTCAATGTGCATCTTCAAACTCTACTCACTACATTCCTAGTTCTGTCTGAGAATCGCTATTATTAGACTGTAAGCTCTCTGAAGACAGGGCTTGGGCCAGTACCTAGCATGTGATAGGAGCTCAATAATAAATGTTTATTAAACAAAGTGCTAGATCCTGACATTCAGGGTTATCCATGATATAAACTCAGGCCAGTTTTCCAGTTTTATATCCTATATTCTCCATCTGCACTTCACCAGCCAGTCAAATTATTCCAGTGGTTCTCACAGCATGGTCCCGGGACCAGCAGCATCAACATCATTTGGGAACTCATTAGAAATACAGGCTCTCAGGCCCCAAACCAGACCTGCTGAATCAGAAGCTCTGGGAGCACAGCCTAGCAATTTGTGTTTTTACAAATGCTCCAAGTGATTCTAATACATGATAAAGCTTGAGAACAACTGAATTTGACTATTTATTCTTAAACATTATCCTTCCTACTTCCATAACCGTTCCTGTAATTCCTTCTACATGGAAACACTTCAGAACCTATGCCGGTGCCTAGCCAGTGCTCAGTAAATGTTTTTTTGACGGAATAGTCAAAAACTCCACAATGCCTACTTGACAGCCCTTGTGTAACTTCACCGAAATCATGCATTGGGAAATGCAAACTTATTCCTAGTAATAATGTTGATACGCTAAAAGTATAAATTGACTACAATTTTGTATATTTTCAGAGTAAATCATACATCACCTACCTCTCAGCATTCAAAGGTTATTACAAATTTTGCCACCTTGTAGGACCTTGAGAAGAGATACCGGCTCTCAATTTCAAAGCTAAAAGAGTTAGAAGCTTAAAATTTAATGATTCCAATTTCCAGAGTTGAAGGTAGGTACTTATTGATATTTATCTGTCCAATTAATTAAGTGTCAAAATCACACAACTGCTCGTGGGTGCCAGGTGAGACATCTGAACAACCTTGGAAGCAATTCAGGCAAGTAAAGACTTGCCCTAAACAGGTAGATTTTCAGGAAGAAAATTTAAACCAAGGAGAAAAGAAGCTGGTTTTCCCAAGCTGAAGAAAGTTCACCTAAATTCCCAGATAACAGAAAAACCTGCAAACACGAAATGCGGGAAGTCATGAACTTGAAAATTCACAGAAATACAACTGTCCATTGTCTTAAAGGAAAAAGCTACGTATAATAAAAAACCTTTAAATACCACACACTCACACACACTTACTCAGACATACAAACGGCCAGGAATGCAAGGTCATTTGAATGGCAGAGGTCATTTAAATCTTTTTAAAGAAATGGAATGTATTTTTTGTACTCATAATAAAGACATGATTGGTAGAAAATTACCAAAGTCTACAATCATATTATGTTGGGAGCAATCTTATATTACTTAGGACAATCTTCCATTTTTCAGTTAAGGAAACATTATGTAACTTTCCTAAGATCACAGGTTTAAGCAGCGGCAAAGCCCAGGTCTACTTATTCTTTGACCAGAAGCTTTCTTACTATGTTATACCATTCTAATATCTAGGGCGAGTCAAGATTTGCTGATGGCCACAAGGGCCATAAAGGAAAACACATTGTATATTTAGGCAAAACTATTCCTAATTAAATCCATTTGATTACTTAACAGGAATATAAACCATATTTTCCGGTTCTTTAGTATGTTTCCTAACAAACTGTGGTAAAGTCTATAACAAACTCAGAACAAAAATGTGGCTTCAATGTTACAAACATTTTCAAAATTAGAGTCATAGAAAATTTAAATATGTAACCAGTAAATCTCAGTACATAAAATAGGCAGATGGCTCTTGCTGATACAGAGGAAATCCTAAAATGGGTTAAGTAAATGATAACTGAAAATCTCCAAGAAGCCCTATCTTTTGTTCTGCAACTCTCAAAACACAGGCTGAAACAATGTACCTTATTTAATTCTATAGTTGACCAGATCTTTCTCCACATTCTGATTTCAATAACTCCCAGACAACTCTTAACCTTTCAAGTCATTTTAAAAATATAGATCAAATCCCATTTCAATAATGAAATCCAAACTCCAATCAACACTCCGGTTATTCTATAATACTAATGATAATATAATTTTTTTAGTTGTAGAGTTTTTTTTTTTTTTGAGACAAGGTCTCACTCTGCTGCATGGGCTGAAGTGCAGTGGCGTCATCATAGCTCTCTGCAAACTGGGCTCAAGCAGTCCTGCTGCCTCAGCCTCCCGAGTAGCTGGGACTACAAGTATGTACCACCACCCCAGTTGATTTTTCTATTTTTTGTAGAGACGGGGGGCTTGCTATATTGCTCAGGTTGGTCTCAAATTCCTGGCCTCAAGCAGTCCTCCTGCCTTGGCCTCCCAAAGTGCTAGGGATTACAAGCGTGAGCCTCATGGTAGAGTTTTAGAACTGAGAAGGACTTCAGACCATGTAATCCAATGCAATCATTACGTAAAAGAAAGACAATGCCTGATACAACTTTAACATAACAAAAAGCTTGAGAATCCTTTGGAATTAATATATAGTGGTAGCATGAAAGCTTTTTGAATATTTTATCTGTCAAAATTTAAATGTACATATTATTCTACATATTTCTATCTTGTTTGAAATATTGTGAGTACATACCACTTTTAAAATTAAAAAACAAAATTAAAAGCAAGATTTGGCTACTTAAATTACCCTAGATTTTAAGAGTTAAAAAAAAATCAATGTATGATTTGGTAGAAAAATTTCAGTAATAATTAATACTATGAAAAAATATTACTACATACATAGGGGTTTTTTTTCCCCTAACCCTCAGACACGGTCTCATTCGTCCTCGTAACATCTCGTAACATAGGGTAGAAAATAACAGGTGAGAAGAGATAAAAGCCTATCTATAGAGGGTGATTCTAATTTAAAATTTTCAGAAACATCAAACGTTTTAACAACTTTCTCACTGACGTCAGTGAGAAACAAAGGCTTTACTATTGTCACTACACAGCTAAAGAAACGGAGGCACGAAAAGATACACGTTATAAAGCAAGGGCAAAAAAACAGTAACACCTTAAACTTAAGACTGCAGATTCTGAGCTTTATATCTCAGGTAAAATTTGAAGAACTTCCTTTGCTGAAGGAAAAAAATAAAAGGACGCACATGCCTCATCCGCAACAGCTTGCGCCAACGCGTATCAACACACCTGTTGTTGTTCCGGCAGTTTCGACAGCTGGCACACTCCAGAGGGTCGATCCGAGGTGCTGCGGTGCACGCTCCGCCACCCTGCACGGGAGGGAGGGGCAGGGAAGAGAAAACACGGGAGGGTGCTGAGGGTGCCACAGACCGGCGGCCAAAGCATCCCAAACACACGCGCCGTGGTGGCGGCAAACGGGTGCGTGGCACGTTCAGCCAGCCCCTCAGCGAGGCCACGCCGACCACAGTTGGCCCGTATTGACACACGGGTCTCATTAGGGCTCTGCACGATATTAAACTGTATTCCAAACACTTAGCTGCCATGTTTTTCCATGTTTTCTCTGTTCTGTGCTGAACAGAGGCAAATAAATGAAAGGAAAAGTTTAGTCACTTCCCTTCCAATCTAGTGGGCCCAAAACGAGCCACTACACATTGCAACCTGCTGCCCATCTGTGCTTTTCTAGCGGTCACCAGAGAACGTCGTGTGATGCCAGCTGGAGAAACGGTGTAAAATCCGTCTGAATGATATCACACGATAAACTCATCTCCATTTTCCTGTAATTAATTCGATCAGGGCTGGTCACTGGACTACACTAAGTTTTAAAACATGTTATATTTTTCCAGATGGGGTAGATCCTCAGCCAGCAATGACTTGGAGGGGTGTACTAATATTTTGATGTTGCTTTTGGCGGAAACTACCCAGCAGTTAAGAAAAATGCCCAGATTAACACATACCTCATTGTGAAATGCTCACTTGACATGCACAATGGCAAGAGTTCTGAAAAGATGAAGTTAAAAATTAAACTGGCCTAACGGAGTCAGAATTCTGCTTCTAGATGAAAAACAGCAGAACTGAATTTGATAAGGGTGGGAGTGGCTGTCATGCCGCGCCCAGACCCGAAGCCGGCCTTCGTGGTCAGGGAAGTTCAGGCGATTGTTTTCCTGGGATACCTTCCATTTCCATCCATCTCAGGACAACAGCCAGACTCTGAGCAAACCAAAAGTACCAAAAATTCCCCTCAGCATTCCTGATCCAACTAGAAACAGGAATCATTAAGAAAACATTGAGAGAAAAAATACATGCAGGCCACGAGGGCAAACCCTAAAGGTTCAGAAAATGAAGTTAACAACCTGTAGGGTAACAGGCTTATTTAAATCATCAAACATGTTAAAGTTAATTCAATGATTTTTATGATCACTAACATTTTTTAAATTTCTCCATTTCCTCCACCCAGAAAAGAAGAGTAAGAAAACTAAATGGGTTGGGATCACAGATGATAATTTCTAAACTGTACACCTAAGGGGGCAACTATAATTTAAATGGCAATTAATTGTTAAAAAAAAAACAAAACAAGTTCCGTGTTCAAATACTAAAGCAAACGTTAGCTTTATTTTTTCTTTTTATGGAAACAGCATGTGCTATTCAAACATGTGCTCACTCCTTCAGTTTACTTGGACAATGTTAGTAGTTTGGACTAGGAATGGTGACCAAAAAAAGTTTAAAAAGGTTGAATATAAGCCATGTCTTTCCACACAAAATAGTGAAATCATGATTCTCTTTTGGTAATGAGATGCGCTAAAGCAAATTAAATGTTTTTTCTACAGCATATGAAAGCTATGCCACATAAAACCATCAGATTTCTAGCTTTAAGACACAAATATATATTAAAGTTTTATTCTCTAGTTGTAATTATTTTAATAAATCTCTATTAAAGTTGAAGATGAAGAAAAACTCTTAAACTTCTTCAAATTTTAGCACATTGTAGGTTACAGCAAATTTATCTGTAATCAGAATGATAATAAAGACTAACTTAATGTTTCATTTGATCAACCAACCAAATTATCTATCTGATCAAAAATAATGCGAATGTACACCCAAACAATGCAGTGTATCAAACTCCCCTTTACCCGCGTAAGTCTAAAATGTGCTTAGTCACTGTGTTCCCATTTCAGAAATTAAATTATATGAGCAAGTTTACTCTGAAATAAGGTCATTTTAAGGGTTTAATCACTTCTTGTGGCTAAAGAATACTAGTATTGTAAAATGCAAAAAGCTTACAGGCTACAAGAACAAAATACATTGAGCAAAACAAACAAAAGAAACCCACGGCAGGTCAGGAGTCTCGATCTGGCCGCCTGCAGAGATGCTTTGCACGGCCTATACAATGCTTTCGAAAATCTGAACTAGGTGCCAGCAGTAAAAATCTGGAGACTTCACCTAGATTTACAGACATTTTGAAGAATCAGAAAATCTAGCAACACTGGGCCGTAGGCCCCGCCAAGGTGACAACAGCAGGTGCCGAATTGCGGCTGCTTAGTGAAGACAGTGCTGTGCTCCCCAGGCTGCGGCTGCCTCTCATCCCAACTCAATGGTCTCTAGTTCCTGATTTGCCTGACTCTTCTTGGCATTTGAGTTTTCAGACTCTGCTCCAAATAAATCAAATTTAAAGTATTTGGTCTGGTCTATGCCTAATGGCATTTTCGTTTCATCTCAAGAACAACTTCGAGTCTGTTCTTTACTGGCATTCCACTTTCGGTGTTAGTAATTTTACAGCAAAAACTAAATTGGTGAATATAACTAAGACCTGATGATAGGAAACTTAGGAAGATTACTCTACATCAAGGGGCTGCCGGTGAGTGGTACGTATGTCCTATTGCGTTCAGGTACGCAGTGAGGTTTCTATCATGAAAACCCCAGTATGCTGGCCTTGTTCTTCTACACTGGCAGCCTGAGGCACAGAGAGGCTTTCGTTTATAATGAGGTCTCTTACGTTCACTAGGTGATGAGGATGTTCAAAGTCCACACGCGTCCTGGTTAGAGAGCTGCTGTGCCCGGAGTAAAGCCCTCCATTTAAGCTTGCGTTCACGACTCCGTTGACTCCACTTGCGACCTTCCGGTGCAGGTGTGAGCAGCCACCGCTGAGGCCACCGTTGCTCAGGAAGCCTCCATGAACATTTCTATTTATCCGGTTTGCTCCCGAGAGAGTGGCGTATTCCACCACCTGCCCATTAACATCTGACCCTTGGTAGAGATACCCCGGTGGGTCATACTCTGTTAAAAGAGAACAAACAAACAAACAGAGACACACACACACAAAAGTAAGATACTGAAAAGGACAATCTTCTTGCTTAGGAAGTTTTATTAATGGGAACTCTAAGAAACTATAAATAGACTAAAATAAAACATTTAGAAAATGTTCACTCAAAGCCTACTTGTGAGATATGCTTTAATAGAGTTCCTGCTGTTTTTTCTTTACAGTGTGGAGGTAGCTATGAACTATGAGTTAATTGTGATTTTGTTACTGGGAAGAGAAATGAACCAGGGAGAAATTATTCAAAAGAGAATGAACAAATTGAACAAGACTGGCAACACCAAGAAAAAGTGCTTAAACTCCCATATACTTAAAAGTGCTGAAAAAAAACTGTATAAAACAACAACGAAAGACTAGCTTTAGACAGGATTTCGAATAGCAATAAACAACAGTTTTAAGTAGAAGGATGGAGTTGTGTATACATTCACTGACTGTTCATATACATAGCTTTTTAGAATAGCCGACTTGGAGGTTGCGGGGTACCAAAGGCAAAAGGCTATTCTATTTCCCTATATTAAAAGCATTTAAACAACTGCCTCGAAATTCTGATTTCCAGAGGCACACCTACCAGATACATTTAGAAAAAGTAAAATATCCCTTAGAAAGTCTGTATCTAAACTGTACAGGATTTGTTGTCAGAGTTCTGATAAATTCTTCAAATGTACTAGAGCTTGCCAAGAATGGAGTAGGTGTCCCTCCGCTCCACAGCTGCTCCTATTCCTGTGCTTTCTTGCACAGGTGTGTACGGTCAGTACACCTGCTTGTCTTCACCAGACTTAACCTGTAAGAGGGCAGAGGTCACGCCTATTTTCCTTGTCATCATATCTCCGCTGTCCAGCACAGTGCCTGGCGCACAGAGGGCAGGCAATGAATATCTTCTGAATGAACACTGCCATGATGATTTTCCATTTTTAAGCATATTATCAGGTCATAAAGGGAGATGACTTTAATCAGGTTAATTTTGCTCCATCAGATTAATACTTTTCTTTTAATAACTCAGCACACAGTTACAATTAAAGGCAATGGCATTACAACCATCGGGAAAAGGCCCAACCCTTCCAGCCTGACACCACCACCACCTCGCTCCATGCCTGTCTCTTAGCAGGCACCATTCGATAAAAATAGATCATTTCCCCCCCAAACTATTAACTAAAAAGGGACCACAGGTGGGGACTGACTGACAGCCACTGCCAGTATCCTCCTTTGCTTCTATTCTAGGGCTAAAGGGGAAACCAAAAAACTTCCTCCCACCAAAGACCAAAATCCCTACTGGACTTGATTATCCTATTTTATAATAGCCGGGAGAATGGGAAAGGTAGGAAGGTGAGGTGAAGAGGACTGAAGCAAGAGAAAAGGGAAGAGGGGTTCTAGATCATTTGTTTCCCAACAGTGCCTTCGACTGTTCAAGCACACCTATTACCAGACACGTGGGAGAGAGGATGCCACTCTGGAGCAGTCTTGGTCCATCAGGTACAGACGGTAACTTAGAAAAGTCTTTACCACCTGCCTTACCATCATAGCTCTTCTATTGCCGTTGACAAGATGTGCACCAGCACGAAGGTGTTCCTACTGCAGTTCCAGAGCTCGGGCTTCAAGTACGCATCCTCTTTGGTGGTCCAACAAAGCCAGAGCTTCCCAGCACTAAGTCAGCTATTTACTCAGAGACCTTCTCAGTTTTGGCTTTGGTGTTTATGTCTACTGGGCAATTGAATTTGATGCTCCACTTACTTTGGCTGACAGCTAGGATAGTTTTACAGTCATCTCCTCTGAATGAAGAGTGTCTAACGTGTTTCACACCACGACACTGATGCACAAAAGTGTTCGGAATTAATATTTATTCTGACAATATTTTTCTATCCATTTTTAGAAAGAGAAAAGGAAAAACTCATGAATGACTCACTCTGTATGGTATTCTGTTGGCGATTCTTCCACAAGCACATGGCAATGAAAGCCATAAGAATGAGGACCATGACCCCCAGCACACAGCCCACGATCAGGTACAACATATCGCTGCTTCTGGCAGGGCTGGCTGCAGGCCCCATGTTTCCTCCACCTCCTAAAGAATTCGGAGGGGTACTCAAGTCTTTGACGGGATAGTCAGAAGCTCCAGGAACACGTTTCACTAGTTGAAATATAAGGAAAACATGATGTCAGAGTGAACACAGACTCTAAGGAACGGTTTACTCTCCGGAGGAGGTCTGGTCAGGAACGCAAGCCAGTCTTGTTTACACTCGTTACTGAGATGATCTGACCACCAGTGAGTCACGAAGAGGGCTCCAAAGTTTAAGTATCTGATGTGCCAAAGTTTTAGTCCACAAATTTTAGAGAAATTCTAAGAGCAGAGAAACATATGCACTTCATATATCCCAAACTGCTACGGCATTATCTGCTAATTGTTCTTATAGAAAACTCTCAAAGAGTTGAAAAAAAGTATTTCAACTTCTCGATGGAACAAAAACTCCTTTATATCTGATCTATTTTGAGCTGAATTGGACTCAAAATTACATATTTTATGCTTCTACTGTGTATAAAAACATCACTACCAGTAGGAGAAGGGATGGCTTTGGACTGTTCCCCCAACTCCACATATAATGTTAAGCATCCCCAAAACAAAGACTTTTGGAGTCCACATAAATGTTTTACTTTTACCTAATTCCTTGCTATTCTGGGTAACAGTGATAACAAAACCTAATAACAGGTGGGACTCAAACCCCATTCTCTCATCCCTAAATCGTATGTTCTTAATGCTCTAAATGTCACAGAAAAGCAGCAAAGTGGTGCGCAGCCTCGTCTCAGACTGCCTGGGCACACATCTCAGCGTCACCATTTCACATCAGCCACGTGACTTTTATCTCCACAAACCCAGTTCCTGCACCTGGACGACGGGGATGATGACAAGAGCTCTGTCATTCGGTCACGAAGAAGAGTAAACGAGCTCAGCTACACAAGCGCTTAGAGCCCGGCACACGGTGGTGTTCAATCAATTTTGCTGTTGTTATTAGCTCTTATACTATTAATACTATACTACGTATTTCCTATATATATTATATACGATACATTCTATGGGGCCTTACAAGCCACGGGGGCAAAGTAGCCTCTTAAAAATTTACTTTGCAAATGACATTAAATTGGGGCTCAATTTTCTAGCAACATCAACTACACAGAACAGGGCTGAGAATAAGGAAAAAAGAGGCCGTCTTTTAAAGGAAGGGGGAGCTCTCCAGTAGAGAGAGTTGGATGGATATTTGGCAGAGACTTCAAAGGAAATTTCTACTTCAGGTGGTAAGTTGGATTCTACAATTCTAAGGTCCCTGCCAACCCTAAAGGAAACACACAAGTTTCTGAGGCACGATGGATGTTCCGTATCACACAGTAAAGATCATGGTTACTCATGGCGAAGTCCTTCAGGCTTAAGCACTCTTTTTTTATTCTTAATTTATTTGTAATTCTACCAAGCTTCCTGATCTGCTTTCCAACCTCTTGCTAAAGTTAAAAACTCAGGACAGACGGCTTGCACTGGGGGTGAGACAGAGCTATCAACGTCAATAAGGAGAGACAGGTGAAAGCTTGAAATGAGAAAGGTCAGATGAAAAACACAGAAGCCAAAGAACTCAAGGAAAAATCACAGCAGTCTCTGATCTTTCATGGGAAGGGAAAATGGTCAGCCTTCAACACCTCAGTTATTCCTGAAAACCTTACTAAATTGCTAAAAATAGAGCAATCATTGTTCACGACAAGAACCTGAAGTCATGTTTTTTTTTAAAGGTTAAATTATGTATCATATCTTCCACCTAAACAGGCTGGGAACTGTGTAATACGTTTTATAAAATCATTCACTATGAACAGTGAACATTTTTTAAAAGTTTTCTGTTTTTCACTGATCTGAAAGTCTGTAGGTAGAACCCTTCCCTAGCAAAGTCAGATAACGAGGTATACTATTCTAAACACAGATATACTATCACACTATGATAAACAACAGTTATAATATCGTTGCCTGTGTGTCATATTTTGTCTGGCTAGATTCTTAAATGCTTTGGGGACAGAGATGATATATTTCATCTTGATTTAATTTTACTCCAAGTATCTCATTAACACATGACAGTGTCTAGTACGAAAGGCACTCAAATATATGCTAACCCGAAGAAATTTGAGGTAAGCCTAAAGGTCTGTGTATATATATGTTTAAATGTGGATTTAAGATGTGAGTATTGCAGCAGAAACACACATGATACTGAATTTAAAAGATGGAATTAAGCCATGGCTTTATAATTTAATCTTTCTGAGCCTCTGTTTCCTCAATTTTTTAATTTATTTTTTCATGTTCTCATTTTTAAATAAGGATAATAAAATCACCTGTAGCAGACACTGATGGCTGCCCAGCTCATTCAAGGCCTTCTTCAAGCCAGCAGAGCCCCAGTTTTGTTGAGGTGCCCACCCAAAGCCCACATAACCCTGGGTAAATTCAGTGAATGGTCTGGGGGTGGCGTGTGACTGAATTCTGGTCAATGAGACCTGAGGGGAGATCTACTAGAGGATGTCGGGGGACATTTTTCCTTGCTCTTAAAAATAGACACTGTCAGACATTACAGCACCTAGATGTGAAGCCAGAACCGTGGCGAGCTGTGAGCAGTGCCAGGCTTGTGGGGCGGAGCTGACAACCGGGAGAGGGCAGAAGAGAAACAGAAAACAACGAGCCCCTGGATTAAACAATCGTGGAGTGACTTACCTACTTCTGGACTTCTTATTTTGGGGACAATACATTTCCTCACTGTTGAAGCCTATCTAGTGGGGATTTCTGTGTTCCTTGCAGTTGACCATATCCCCGAGGTTGCTGTGAAGATTAACCGAGACAGTGGACAATGCCCACATTGGCTGTTTCTATTATTCACCAGTGGTGTTTTCTGTTTTTAAAGATGGTAACGTTTTATGGTTCATCTATGTACGCAGACGGAGTTGAGAATGACAATTTAAAATTAGCAACTGCTCATTCTCAGCTTAACTACTACACTTAATTAAACAAGTACTGTAACATCTATCTGTCATTCAAGAAACCGCTTTAACCATGTAGTGCTTTTCCTTAATATTCTAATACTTTTGTCAGTATTCTAATTCTCACAGCAATCTCAGAAAGAAGTCAGCAAATATTTCCATTTTCTTCACGAAGAAAAAGAGAAGGGAAGTGATTCACTAAGAGACACACAAAAATTAATGAGCAGAATGCTTATGTGAACTATTTTTTAGACAAATGCTGTAGCCAACATACTGTTCTTCTGTCGGGAAAGTATAACGTGTGCACCTAGAAAACGGTCCGAAGCAGAAATTTCCTCAGGTAAATACATCCGTAGTCAGAGCAGTAATCCAGAGTTTGGAATTCCAGCGCTGTGCAGGGAAAAAGCACAAATTCTCTCCTTCTCCTACCTTTAGTCTCGCAGATCATCACGTTGCTAAATTCGCTCTCTCCTCCTTCGTTGAAGCACTGCATTTTAATGTCGTAGGAGGTTTCTGGCTGCAGGTGGCCAATCATGTGCCACTGCTTTGAACCTGCAAAGGAAAAGTGAAAGAAAGCTTTACATTTAGTACGACCTCCACGATGACGTCAACATAATTACTTAATATATTCAGAATGAGGCTGGAACAACATCCATCGATCGCCATCTGGTATAGTTTGTGCAATAAAAATGTACTTACTGTGACATATTTTAGTAATGTGCCACAGATAAATAGCATTTCTATTACGTGGCATGAAAAAAGATGAAGAGAAAAAGTATACTGAATTAAAGCTACATTTGTGTGTTGGTAGTAATACTTGTTTCATTAAAAATAATCAGTGGTGAGTTTTTCATAAAGTCTATGTTACTCTTGTACTTAGGTAAAAGAAAAACCTCAAGTCCTTTGATCCTATTTCAACTCATCAAGTCAAATCACTATCCCACCCACCAAAAAGCAATACTATACATGAGATCAGCAAACGGTACGTTACCCAGAGCAAGTGACCAGCGACAAGAAAGGCCTCAGTGAACCTCTCGATTCAGTTGCAATGGCCACCGCATGAACTGCCATGTAAACAATCACCTGAACAAACTGCTGAGAACCATCAAAAAGCAAAACCTACCACGGGAAACCCTCAGCTGCGGCTCCCACCACTACTGTGCTTTTGAGTCAGGGTCCCCGAAGCACACAAACATCTCTAACCGAATGAGTCCGTTATCCCTGGCACTCGGCCAACATTTCATTTGGAAACACTCCTAAACTGGACACTCCCATATAAATCACTCTCATTTTCACTTCCATGGACCTATGACAGACTTTCATAAACAGGGACACCTTTGCCAGATTTAATTAACTCTTCAAGTACCCTTAACCCTCTTAGGAAATATCTCTTCGGACTGTTTCCACTGTTTCTTAGAAACTCAAGCATACCACCAACTGATGTAAGAACAAATTAAAGGGGGAAAAAAACACAAAACGAAACCACGCACACGAGTTACACGACCAATATCACCAGGCTCCTGTCTAATTCAACAAAGACAGAAATATTTCAATCCGGAAGCACAACCCCCTTTCCAGGTTGCCAATACAAAACCCACATTCACACAGACCCACCTTTTATAAGGAAGAAAACCTGCTTGTTTTAGGATCAGGAGTCTCCAAAAGCTCAAGAAGGGAGGAATTCTATACCCCATTTTAAATGTAAAGAGGACCCCAAAATATCTTAATTTAAAAACTGGTTGAAACTGGAATAGACAGACCTACTTACTTCTAAAATCCAAAAATTTTCCAAAGAGTTCTATTTTTTCTCTAGCCTTAGGTCTTTCCTGACCTGGCCCTATACTCACCTAACTACAGACATTGTCTTGAATAATTACTACACTAGATTTGAAATTTTCCTTTCATAGCACTAGTAAAAATAGAATTAAAGTCGGTTTCTAATATGTTGCTAATAAAAGAAAATACTTAAAATGATACATACCTTGTGAGATTAATATTCCATTACTATGATAATTTTTCCAATGGCAAAAAGTACAGAAAATACCAGCAAAGAGAAAAAATTTTTACTGGTCATTGATAAATAAGACAACTAACTGCATTATTAGATTTAAAATCAACCAACCAGCACACATCCTTTGCTTAACAGGTAGTTATTTTCCAAAAGGATACTTTAGAGAAGGTAAGGGTTTACTGTAGAGAGAAACCAAAGCACAGACTTAAAGATCAGAATGACTGACACTTTGATTTATTTGGAACTTGATTTAACTTTACAAGATAAAAATATTCAACACGAAAGCAATACTATGCTGGAATCATTTATAATTCACCAAAATGTGGAACTTAATTCAGAAAATAAGATAACTTAATTGTCCTTCTCTTACTATATTCTTTTTTCTTTCTTTCTTTGTTTTTTTTTTTTTTTTGAGACACAGTCTTGTTCTGTTGCCTTGGGTAGAGAGCAGTGGTGTCATCATAGCTCACAGCAACCTCTAACTCCTGGGCTCAAGCGATCCTCCTGCCTCAGCCTCCTGCGTAGCTGGGACTACAGGTGCGCACCACCATGCCTGGCTAATTTTTCTATTTTTTGTAGAGATGGGGTCTCGCTCTTGCTCAGGATGGTCTCAAATTCCTGACCTTAAGCAATCCTCCTGCCTCTGTTCCCAAAGTGTTCTTAATGTATTCTTTTACAATTTGAGTTTCAAATTTTTTCGAAAGCTTAAATCTGGGGTCAATACATATAAGTAATCTAAAACTTTTAAAGAAAATTTACATACAAAGGATGGACACTTTTGCTCCTGGGTTTGGGAGAATAGACCAATAGTTTCCAACTGCCACAAAAAGAATTCCATATGCACAAACTTGAAAATAAGGAATAAGCAAATTACACAGCACAGTGAAGCCCACTTAAACATCTAACTGCTCAGTATACTACATTTATAAACCAGTTCTCTGTGAACCATAAGACAGAACTCCCATTTGTAGGCACCACTACTAGATTGAAAAGCTTCTTTATGCTAATTTCCAAGTTCTGTGTTCAATATTCACATCACAGAAATTTGTAGAAGTTTGAAGATTTGACTAGAGAATATACTTTAAAAACTGTTTACCAGTGGATACTTCTAGAGGGCAGAACCAGGAAGGGTGAAGGCAGGAGAGCCAGGAAGGCAGAGAAACACAGATGTTCATTTTATTTACATTCGCTGGTTCAGAACTTAAATATTTAACCTCTGCCAAAAAGTTTTAAAAATGAAAAGTGGCATCCCCACTACCCTAAACCAGCTGAACTAAAATGAAGAACTAGATAGGACCAAAATACAGAATAGTGATAGCTATTATTTTTCTAATTCTTTTTTTTAAATAGCCTTTTTATTGATGTAAAATCTGCCCACAGAAAAGTCCACATAACTGCACAGAACCGTGAATGCTCACAATCGGCACACACCTATGGCGCCAGCACGTGGGTCAAGAAAGAGAACACTGCTGGCCTCGCCCCCTCAAGACAGCTACTGTGGTAACTGCCAAGACCAGAATACTTTTGTCACAAAAAGGTATGGCAGAAGAGAAACAATTGCTCCTCATTCAAAAAAAAAAATTTATTGAGCACCTACTATGTGCTGAGTATTAAAACTCAGATCATAAAGTTTTCATTACATTACAAAAGTCATTCTGTTGGTTGAACATTAAAAGGGCTGCTACAATATTTAAAGAAATGTGATAGAGCATACTTAAAGTAATTTATTATAACAAAAACTATACGCAGCATTTGATGCCAATAAGTTGTATGAAAGATACCCTTGGCTGAGGGCAATTTTCTGACATGATTCATTACGATGTTGAGTATTTCAAAGAATCAGAATCTTGGAGTGAAAATAGGCTTTGGAAGAAGGCTTCCTGCCAAAGCAAGAATCCCTTCCAAGACATTACGAGAAACAGGCGCCTACGTCCTATTGATCATTTCCAAAATTATGGAGTCTGTTACTTTGTGAGGGCATCTATGTTTAAATGCTATGTTAGAAAGTTCTTTCTTACACACTTTCTTGTAACCTCTCCTCCCCCAACTGACTCGGCTCCTATTCCACATAACACTCCTGAGATGTTTGAAGACAGTCACCATGTTGCTTCTTTTTTCCAGCCTGAACACCATAGACATCCCATTGTTCTCTCTGGACTCCACTGATGCGTTAATTCAATACTAAACACCTCACCATTGTAGGGGCTGGCGACATAGCAGTGGGGAAAAAGTCCCCTCCTAACGTTGAGTAGAGGAGACAAACTTTAGGCAAATATTCCAAACACACACAATCTCTCTTTCTCACTCACACACACACACACACCATGTATTTAAACTCTGATAACTTCTATGACATTAAGATAAAGCGTGTGGTTAGAAATCATTGCAAGGGCACCTCATGCAAATGGGAGGAAGTTATCCGGGAAGGTTTACCTGACGAAGCGGTGTTTAAGCACAGAGCAGAGAACAGCGGGAGCACCCAGACAAAGTGATGGGGGCAGAGCACAGCAGGCAGCAGGAACGACCCGTGCCAAGGTCCCGAGGCAAAAAAACACTCTTGGTGTGCACAAAGAAACCGAAAGGCGGCTAGAAAGGGAAGGGTGCAGGAGACGTGGCTGAGGGTGAGGCAGGAACCAGCCTGGTCCCGTGGGGCCTCCAGCCACATGCAAAACTCTGGGTTCTGTTTCAAATGCAGTAGGGAAGCAGTTTCAACACAGTTCACCATCTTGGCTGTTTCCTTTTTCTCTACGTGCATTCCAATTTCTCTGAAAGTGGGTAAGATACTTAAGATGCGATCTTTCTAGTACAGACTTTAATGAAACTGTTTGAGTGAGACATTTATTTTTTAAATGTGGTGAAAGGTCACATTTGATTTTTATATTCAGGTCACTGTTCACTTAAACAAAACAGAAATAAAAATTTTTTTTTTTCAGATGAGCTGCTGACAAATCAGATCTTCCCCATACTTCTGTACCTGTTTCTGCAACCAAAAAGGCAAGGTATTATATATAAAAAATTGGAAAAATTGGTTTTCTTTGGGACAAATTCAACAGTAATAGAGCATACGCCATTCCATTCTTTACTCCATCTTAACCTGGGGGATGCATTTCACAACATTTAGAAACCCTCTCCCGCCAAAGCTCACCTTCCACGACATCTCTCTTGTAATCACTGTCGTTGTCGCTATCTGTTGGTCGGTAATAGATATAAAATCCTTGAATAGGAGTGTTATTGTTACTTGATGGAATGTACTAAAAAATAGGAGCAAAGACTTGTCAAAGACAAAAATAAATAACTTTCACATCCACTAACATATATTTGTCTTTGTGGTAAACAGCTTCATTTTGCAAACATACTTAATGCAATTTCAACTTAATTCAAGGGTATTCGCAGGTATTAGCAGCATTTAGCTTATTGCAGGGTTGAACAAAAATAAAGCAGTACAATAGACCCAAAAGCATAAAAGTACATTTGGTTCAAAATGAATTAATCACAGGATGACAGTTAATAACACTTGGATGAGAGCCGAAGAAACAACAATTTTATTTTTAACCCTGCCTTCCTTATAATACGTGCTTTTAGACAAATATTGGTATCCTTCCACTTCCCCTCAATTAAAAGTTTAAAAACTTATTGTCCACAGTATCGTGTCACGAGAATATTAAATTGATTGTTAACATGACCAAATCAGAAAATCTTCCCATTCAAGAAGACATTTACTTACTGTCCACTTCAGCATGATCTGAGTATCACTGACAGCCTCTGTGTACGCGATGTGAGGTCCGGCTATTGGACGGTTGGAAAACCGGTTGGGGAACCCAGCCACCTGGTAAGGACGAGACGCTGAACTTCGAAAACTCTCACCATGATGGTTGATAGCAATGACCCTAAATTTGTATGTTGAACCTTTGGGGGGAAACAAAAACAAAACAAAAAACCCATAACTAAAAAAAAAGCTATAAGTAGACAACGGAAGGTAGCATAGTTAAAATATGACAATTGTGCGTAAGTACAATAAAAATAATGTATTCTGAAGCCTGTCTGGTAAACAGATTTCACCCCACTGGCCAATTTCAGTCAGCTGGGAGTGGCTGCTCAATGCACTGTGTTCAAGATCCAAGACCTTCTCAGGGGTCCCCAGGAAAGAACGCTGCGAAAGATCGATGCCGTCTCAGGGAGGGAGCAGGTGGAGAGTGAGAAAGAGGACATTTACTCTTTGCCGCCCCATTCCAAGTCACACCCATCAAATACAGCATTAAACACAATCGAAGTGTCTGTCCCCAAAACTACGTTCTTTTCACTTAGAAAGAAACAACTGAAGCGAAGGTTAATATGGTGAATACATTTATCACGAGGCACTGTGTGGGTAACAGCGGATGCCACTCTGGCTTCATGGCTAATAGGATAAAAAGGAGCAGATTTAAACTCCAACAGAAGGAATTTATTTGGATTAGATATTAAGAACTTAAAAAAGTGCTAAGGATTGTGAATGTCTGAAAATTTGAATCTAAAGAATAAATTCGAATCCTAAAGCAAGTTTCCTAATAACTCTAAAATAATCATTGGGCTTCTGAAGACACCGTTTTCTGTCTATAAAACATGACTTGGCTTTGCCTACATTGAAAACTGCGATCTTTTCCCAACTATACCTACACGTTCCTACGCTCCTCATATTACCTGTTTGGACAAACAGGTATTTGCTACTAACGTACATTTAAAAGTCCAGAAACAAAAACGGTCATGAAACGTAAACAAATAAAAGTAAGCAAAATTTGTTTATCTTTTTTCTCTTTTACAATTTACATTCTTCCCTATATCCTCAAGATTTTGATGGGGAGAAGGGGTGGTTCCTCTGTGGAAACAAAACTGATAGAACAAGTGTTAATCGTTGTCTTATTTTCCTAAGACTAAGCACTGAGTATCGTTGTGCAGAGATTCAGCATCAGATCAAACAATTTTAACCAAATAACAAGCAACCTTCCTCTTAACATGCTCTGCTGTAGCAAAACACACACACACAAAGATGTTCACTGCATTATTGCTAACTGCAAACCAGTAGAAACAAACAAAACCCAGAAATAAAGAATCAAAAAGTTAACTATGGTGTATTTACACATACAGAAGATACACAACTATTAAAAGTTGAGCTTGTGAAGAATCTTAATGATATTGGAAAATGCATATGATATAATAAGAGGGAAATGGGGTAACAAAACAGTGCTTAAACGGCGTGATCTTGGTTGGTATTAAGAAGAAAAAAAAATATACCAAAACATAAACAGTGATTATCTCTGGATCGGTAGATTTCAGGCGACTTATTCCCTTCTTTATATTTTCTTTATTTTCAAATTTTTATACAATAAGCATGCATTACTTTAACAATTAGAAAAAATGTAAGATTATTTAAAATATGCATCTAACATTAGTGCTGATGGTAAAAAAAGGAAACGTTTGAATTTTACTACCTGGTTCTAAACTGCGAACTTCCACAGAAAGTTTAGAAGGAGGGATATCTTCAGCTGCCACCAGCCAATCACTAGTCCTCATTCGTTTGTACTCAACCTTGAAGGCAGTGATTGGAGAACCGCCATTTGCCCTCGGAATCCAAGTGACGTAGACCGACGTCTCTGAGGCGGTGGAGACAGTAGGCCGATCTGGTGCCTCTGGAACTAAAAATGGAAACATTCATTTCAATAACCCATGGCATCAGGGACAGAATAATTTAAATAAACTAAAGGGATAAATCCCAAACCTCGTGTTACTAAAGGTTCTTAACCAAACTTTTTGCCAGAATTAATAAAATTACAGCTATCTTCCTGTCCTCTGTTAAAAGCGAATGGGGCCTAGGCACAGCAGCTCACACCTGTAATCCCAGCACTTTGGGAGGCCAGGGCAGGAGGATCACTTGAACTGAGGACTTCAAGACCAGTCTGAGCAACACAGAGAGATCCTATCTCTACAAAAAATAGAAAAATTAGCCAGGCATGGTGGCAGGCACCTATAGTCCCAGCTACTCAAGAGACTGAGCTGAGGCAAGAGGATCACTTGAGCCCAGGAGTTTGAGGCTGCTGCAGTGAGCTATGATCAGGCCACTGCACTCCAGCCCGGGCAAAAAAAGGCCTATCTCAAAAAAAAAAAAAAAAAAGGGAATAGGATGGCCAAACACAGGAAATAAAAGGAATGAGAATAAAATAATCTATAAACATGACAATTAGCTCTGAAAAACTGAAAGTTAATGAGTATGATAATTTTGACCATGCTACTTTAAATTCATAACTAAAACAATATGTAAATAATTATTATTTGGTGTTTCAAGTCTGATTGTGGTTATAATTTATAATAAATTTTTATGGTTATGTGTTTTCTCATTTAAATGTTTTTCTTCATTCATCCAAGCTATTAAAATGCATTCAGTAATCCACTGATTATTATATTAACCATTAACATTATATCCGGCCTTAATATACCTCAAGGCTACAGGAGTGCTATTCCAAAATACAGACTGCAAGCAGCAAATGCAGATAAAATCCGACTGATAAAATCAATACCGACAATAGTGGGAAAAGGGAATGCTGCTTAGGACGAAAGCAGGAAGACTGGATATGTAGTTAAATAAAGACAGGTGCTATCCGAAAACAGGTGACCCACACGAACATGTGGGAAAAGGTGGTCAGGGAGCTAACACTCAGCAATTTCCAGTCAGCACTGCCAAGGAGAGGCGACGCCCTAACCCACACACCAGACAGCCTGGGGCCCAGGCCCTGCGGCAGGCGGAAGTGTCAGGAAGAAGCTCCTCAGCCATGTGCAGCAGGCACCCAGCCCCTCCTGGTGACCCAGCAGGCTTGAGGTTGTAACTAGCGTCCCGCTAGGTTCCTACAAGGAAAGGCTGCTGCCAGAAACAATCCGGTCCACGGGACGGTGTTCTGGGTGACATGGACCGCCTGTGAGTTTTGTAGAAGTGAGCTGGTTCTCAAGAGACCAAGGAACTTCCGTCACGCTGATAATCGAGCTGCACAGCTGGACGGCGGGGGGCCAGCACTGGGCTATGGTGACACTGCTTTCTCCTCAGCCCCGTCTCTACCCAGCCTGTGCCATGCTCTTCAACTGAACACTCCCCTTCTGCCTCAACGCCTCTTGAATGATGTCGAATGTGGTACTTGTATGGAGAAAACTGTGGCATTTTAAAAACAGATTGCTTGAGGGATGAAAAGAGAAACACAGTCGAAGCAGGCAACTCTGAGTGATACTTACTGTATTCCTTTCAAGATAGAAAGCAATGGAAACAGAATGAATAGAACTGTTAGTGAATCTCTCTTTTAATACGAGAAAACCAAACAAATTCTTATGTTGATTTATCTCATCAAACACCACAGATCATACAGGAAAAGAAAGTTATTAGGGAAAACGTCTCTGCAGAGAAAAATATCTTCGACCTCTAAAAGAAACAGCACGTGACCGTTTACAAGGAGAGAAAGAACACTGCACTTAGCAGCCTGGGTGTGAGTGGCAGTTCCACCGCTCTCCGCATGGTCTCAGGCATGCTGTATAACCTCCTTGAGCCTCAATCTCCTAATTTGTAAAACAGATATGTATACAGATTTTGTAAAACAGATATATATACTTATATATATATATATACTTCCCTCCTAAGTCTGTTATGAAGATTAAATAAATCACTTCTCATGGTTATCTCTGCTTGGATAACTCCAAGTTCATGATTTCCAGAACTGAATCCATCATATTCATCTAAAAACTCCTATCAGCTGTCTTTGTAAAGGGTCCCTAGTTGCTGAAGCCCAAACACCATCCTCCCTTTCAGTGTGGATCCCCCCCCATCTCTCACACAGGCCCCCCCCATCCACGCCATCGCTCTCCTCAGCATTCCTCTAGCCTAATCTTTTGCCTTTCCTCCCTTCTCTCTCTCTAAAATCCTTTAGGGTTCATACAGCTTTCAGGGAGAGACTGAACTTTCAAGTGTATCATACCAGGCACCTGCATGCCACCCACCCTGGCATCATACCCCACAGCACCCGGTCACACTAAATACAATCTCTAATCTCTAAATCTCTAGACAAAACAGAACATGTCCGTCAGTCTATCTCTTGCACAAACAGATGTCTTTTCTTGGGTCTTCATCTAGCTGTATCATTCTTGCCCTTCGAGACTCGGCTCAAGATGCTGGGGAGCTTCTATCACCACTACTCACCCCCCCTCCCTCGAGCGCGTGGCTTGGATATGGCTCTTGCGATCCCTTAACACCAAGGGTACGATCTCAAGCATAATGAATCAAACAGTGTATCCGTCTGTATTACCCACTGTGTCGTTACGTGTCTAGGTGTCTATACCATCCACTACACTGTAAACTCCTTGAAGACAAGGATTATTTTACCCTGGCAGTTCCGGCATTTAGTACAGTGTCCGCCAGAGGGTGTGTGAAATAAATAGTCAGGATTTTGCTTTTCAGGTGTTGGTTTTATTCACGCGAAGTTGCTACTCATATAAGCAATCTGCTTAAGATAGATAAAATGTGTCTCGGAGGTGGAAGTCCTCATGTAAGAGAGGCTCCCCACGTGGAAGCAGCACGGTGCTCCAGGGGCAGTTCGAAGCGTCAGGACCTGCTTTTGTCTAAGGTCAATTCGTGGAAACCCATAAAAATATGGAAGAGAAGCCTAGAAATTCTTAGAGCTCCACAATGAAATTTTAAGTCTTTCCTAGATGTCCTGACATATTGGCACAATCACAAAAAGCACATTAGGCTGTAATTGTAGAACTCAGAAGTATGAGATTTAAATATTAAAAAGTCTTCTGAAAATTTTACTGCTAAGACATTGGCACAATCACAAAAAGCACATTAGGCTGTAATTGTAGAACTCAGAAGTATGAGATTTAAATATTAAAAAGTCTTTTGAAAATTTTACTGCTAAGACATTTAAAAACCGTAAGATTAACTAGATAGTAATAAAAGTGAACGCGGCATGTAACCTTTCAGTAAAATAACCTACCACGGGCACCACCGTACATTTCGGTAAGTTGCACACAAAAAAGTCAGACTTTCAGAGCTCAAAATATAAATTTAGTTTTCTTACCAGAAAGGAAACAGAAAAACGATTTTCTTGAGTTATAAAAACTTAGTACCAGAACATTTTGAATCCGAGTTTATTAAGATAAATGCCAATCATGACACTGAGTGGCCAAAGTTTAAACACCAGACATTAGAAATTGTTGAAACAGGACCTAAAAGAGCTCTCTGGTAGGACGTAGTCTGAATAATAAACACCCCATTCCACCCCACCTCCCCAAACTGAAACTGGTGAGTCACATTCGTAAATAAACAAAATGAATAAGATGAAGATTCTTTTCTTTACCTCCACTATGCCTAGAAGAATCTGTAAGCACCACTCCAAAATTATTGTTCGCAGCCTCCGAAACAACAGGATGCTTAGGCATGCCCACGGGTGAAGAGGATACCTGTGTGTTTTTTGACGATGCTGTTTTCTCTAGAGAGGTTAAAAAACACATACTGTAACATAAGCTGATATACACATAAAGTAAAAAAAAAAGTACCTGTGAAACTCTACTGGTATAAATACATGAACTTATCTGCCACAGCTTCTATATTAAAACTGCATCATAAATGCTTGGCTGATCTGAGGAACTGACAAAAATCACTTTGTCTTTTTCTAGTATCTTTAAGGGAAAGCTAAAGTGTGTCTTTCTTCAACATGCTAACTTTAATTTACACACGAAAAAAAACAACACAAGTGAAAAAGTCAAATGATTAGAGTGAAGTTTCCCAAACTTATTAGTCCATTTTTCTTTCTACTGTACATATTTCTCAATTCTAAAATGTAAAATTCATCATTAAAGATCTTCTGCTAAGTTTTTTTCACAGGAAAATTATCACATTGCTTTAATATTTCTAGAGGTAAAAAGTGAAACTGAGTGATTTTTTAAAAACAGAAACGTATGCTTCTTATACAGTATTTATAGGTCAGACTCTATGAATATCTAAGGACCAACTGTGAAAGTTAACTCAAGATACATTTAAAATAGGAAATATTCATTATTTTCCAGCACAGATTCAATAATTAGATGAAAAGGTCTTTTTCAAAAGCCACTAGTTTCTTCTCGATCTTCGTACCTCCTTGTTATTACAGCGCCATACCAGAATACTATTCTGCCCAGTTCCCATCTCCACCCACTGAAGTCTCTGTTCATTTATGGCCAAGCCATGATGGCATCTTTTCTTTTCTTACTTTCTTTTTTTTTTTTTTATTTCAAAATATTAAGGAGGTACAAATGTCTTAGATCTATTGCTTTTGTAATGCTTGAGTTCCGGCTATAGGTGTGCCCATCGCCCATATACTGTTCACAGTACCTGTTAGGTGGGTTTTTGCCCATCCCCTCCCCACTCCTCCCCCCGGTTGATGTCCACTGAGTTTTAACTTCCCTCTGTGCACATGTGTGCCCATTGGTTAGTTCCAATTTAGTAGTGAGTACACGTGGTGTTTGTTTATCCATTCTCAAGATACTTAGGAAAATGGTCTCCAGTTCCACCCAAATTGTTACAGAAGGCATTAATTCATCCTTCATCATGGCTGAGTAGTATTCCATGGTATACATATACCACCGTTTATTAATCCACTCCTGAAATGATGGGCACTTGGGTTGATTCCACATCTTTGCCATTGTGAATCGTGCTGCAATAAACATTTGAGTGCAAATATCTTTTTGATGAAAAGTCTTCTTTTCCTTTGGGTAGATACCCAATAGTGGGATTGCTAGACAGAATGGTAGGTCTACTTTTAGTTCTCTGAGGAATCTCCTTACTGTTTTCCACAGAGGTTGTACTAATTTGCAGTCCCACCAACAGTGTATAAGTGTTCCTTTCTCTTTGTAACCGCACCAGCATCTGTTGTTTTTGGAATTTTTAATAAAAGCCATTCTGACTGGGGTAAGGTGATATCTCATTATGGTTTTGATTTGCATTGCCCTGATGATCAGTGATGCTGAGCATTTTTTCACATTTATTGACCATTTGTCTTTCTTCTTTTGAGAAGCTTCTGTTCATGTCTTTTGCCCCCTTTTTAATGGGGTTATTTTTTTCTTGCTGATTTGAATTCGTTGTAGATTCTAGTTATCAGCCCTTTATCAGATGTATAGATTGAAAATATTTTCTCCCATTCTGTAAGTTGTCTATTTGCTCTGTTAATTATTTCCTTAGCTGTGCAGAAGCTTTTTAATTTAATCAAGTCTCATTTATTTATTTTTGTTGCTGCCGTGATTGTCACTGAAGTCATAGTCATAAATTCTTTACCTAGGCCAATATCTAGAAGAGTTTTTCCTACATTTTCCTCTAGAATTCTTATGGTTTCATGCCTTAGATTTAAGTCTTTTATCTATCCTGAATTAATTTTTGTGAGTGGTGAGAGGTAGGCGTCCTGTTTCATTCTTCTGCATGTGGCTATACAGTTTCCCAGCACCTTTTATTGCATAGGGCTTCTTTTCCCCAGTGTGTGTTCAGATCAGATGGTTGTAGGTAGACGGTTTTGTATCTGGGTTCTCTGTTCTGTTCAATGGTCTGTGTATCTATTTTTGTAGCAATACCATGCTGTTTTGGTTACTATAGCCTTGTAGTACAGTTTGAAGTCTGGTAATGTGATGAATGATGGCATCTTTTCGGTCAAGCCATCCCTCCCAAGCTGCCCACAGAAGAAATGTCCTTTCTTTGTGCTCCCCCAGCACAAAGTCCTTGGAAATCTCTCATAGCACTGGGCATACACTGGCCTACACTCTTGCCCTCCTCCAGCCAGAATTGTTCTGCAAGAACAGACGGCACATCTTGTCACTCCTCTATGCAGCCAGTCCAGCAATTCCCAGCTCACTCAGAGGCAAAGCCAAAGTCCTAAAAAAGGTCGACCAACAGGGCACTGTGTGATTTGGATGCCCTGTTGTCTCCCTTCGCACCTCTCTATGGCCTCCTTACCTCCTTTGCCCCCATCACAGTGACCCCCAATGCTCCTCAGGCATACTGAGCACACCCCTCCTTGTGGCCTTGGCACTTCCCTCTGCTGGGGATGTCCTTTCCCTAGATAGTCACATGGCTTTCTGCTCCGCCTGCTTTAGGTCCCTGCTCTGACACTGGAGGACCTCCTCAGCTACCTGCTTAAGCTGTGAACAACTCCTAGCCCATATACTTTCCATATCCATTCCCTAATTTATTTCTCTTGTTGACACCATCACCTTCTTAGGTATAAGTCTCTCTCAACTAGAATGTAAGCTCCATGAGGCCATGGAGTTTTGTCTATTTTATTTATTGCCTGACACATAAAAGACATTCAATAAATACTAGCTGAACTGAATTAAATTTTGTCTTGTAGTTGGTATTTTAGTATATGACTTACTTTTCTTATCAAAGTATGAGCTCCAATGGGACGGATCGTATCTTGACCATCTTTGTTTTCCCTGTACCACTTATCCTAGTGTTTTGTACATCATAAGCTCTCAAAAATATTTGTGGAATACTAGATGGAATGGAATAATACAACTACCCAAAAGTGGCCAAAAAGGCACGGGGACTATAATAGGATTGTTTAGTGAATTTATATATAAGAATCTCTGCTATCCAAGAGAATGCTTACTAGTAAATTAACACCAAGGCGGCCAGCTCATTCCTCTGAAGAGACGGTGCTCACCTTTGCTGGTTCGGAAGGTAAGCATGGCAGGCTGTCCTTCGCCTGCTGCATTTCTTGCTACCATCAGGACTTCGTAAAGACTAGATGGCTCCAGTTCAGTCAGACGGAGCTCATTTTCGCTTCCTGGGACTCGAACCGTGTGCCAGCTTCCCACCACGCCAACCGCATCATCCAGCTGCCCAAGGGAAAGTATTCCAGAAAAATAGGAGAGCAACTTTGATAACCATTAGAATTCACGTAATTCTAGAGGAGTTTTGGGGAGCGACATACCACTGTGAGTAAGAAAAGACAGTACTACTTCCCATTAAGAAACATGCGGGGCCTGTAACAAGCACCTGGGAGCCCTCACTGTGAAGACTCCTGGCTCTGACCGCCAGCGTGTGGCCTCAAGCAAGCTGTTGCCCTCCCAGAGTCTGTTCCCTTTACATGTCAAGGAGACAATACCTCCTTACTTCCTGGGCTAATGAAAGAATAAAATAAGTATATAATAATGTGTATTATTGGTAATATATAATATACATGATGAATATACATTAAGATAGATATTATATGTTTGTATGTATATGCATTATATGATTATGTATTATATATTTCCAGCATTCTTGCTTCATGTGTTGACGCCGTTCAGTATGTGTTGGAAGAAATAAAAAGAGATCTAATTAGTTGTTTCTTGGTTAATGGAACAAAGAGCAATTTTGCATGGAGCCTTTAGGGTAGATAAGATTACTAGCAAAACTTAGTTTCTTCATCTAGAATCATCAGGTTAGAAAGAGCAGATAAACTTTAAAATATCACCATGTTAGTTTTTTCAGTCATTAAAAACACCACCATTAAACAGTGGATACCAAAATGTCTTGGGCAAAGAAAATGATTTTACATATTAGTGCATCCCTCATTTATCTACTAGTCTCATTAAACAGAGAGGAGCGTTTTCATCCTGCCTTAATACAAGCCATGGGGGGGAAATATTATCTAAAGAACCAACTGACAGACGCCCAAGTCATTTATTTATTTTGCCAAAATAAATGACTGAACAATGTAAGACTCTAATACAATTAGGAAGACAACTTAAAATGCAAACAATTGTCAGAGGTTATGCCAGAGGACCCTGTTCAAACAGTCATTTCTAATAAGAAACTGCTTTATTTGCTAAATAAACTGTTTTCTACTATCTTAGGGAGGTAAGACGTCACTGTTTTAAAAGTCATTTATAAAAAATGTCAAGACATTACTGGGTTCTTAGAATCTGGATTTGGGTGGAAATTATTTATACTTCATTCTTATTCCTTTCATAGGGTTGGTAAATCCAGCATGATTGGTGGGGTGTCTCTGACAAACTCACCATCCTGAAACACTCTGGTTCTGTTTTCTGCCATTCCACAAATGTAAACGATAGTCAGCATATGTTATACAGTGTTAAGGTGTGAGAAGAGAACGATGATAAATGAGAAGACATTACCTTTCGATACTTCACAAAATAGGCGTTGATGGGCAGTTCACTGTCCTTCCCCGCCCTCCACACCAGATTGTACGTGTCTGGTGCGTGGGTCTGTGGGGGGCTCAGTATGATGGGAGCATCGGGAACAGAGGCGCCGCTAGCGTTCTTCTCTGATGACGATTCCGAATGTGTCTTCACTGGAAATGAGCTCAACGATCCAGTTTCTAAACCATCTCTTTTACCTCTTTCATCATTCTGAGTAGCATCATAAGGTGTGACTGTTTCGGCTTTTGTATTTGTTTCAAATGGTACTGGAGGGAGAGAGAGAGGAGATCGCTTGAAGAAACTCATCATTTCAGAGTCTTCTACCCAGTTAGTGATATTCTTGCACACACTGATTGTTGGCACAATCTGAGCCCTTGAAGCTAAAATAGGTAACATTTCACTTTATAATTCATGGAAACATTTAACCTCTGCCAGCATTTGCTCATGGGGGAGCAAATGAGTTGTTTGAAAAACCAATTATATGATGCAATAGTTCAATGGTTTAAAAGTTTTTATTTTTTCCTTGTTCTCTACTAGTATTCCCTCTTCTGCAAGAACAATTTGCTAATTTAACCTCAGAAGATTTTAAGTTGAGGAACATTTGGCTTTGATTCCAGCTGGTAAATGAAACACAAGGAACAACACATTCTGTTGAGAACAAGGTTATCATACATAGTAAGGAAATGGTTGAGAGTTGGGCTCTCACCCACTGAGAGGCCAGTCGCCAAAAATACCACCCAGTCTTCATGCACGTGGGCAGCCTCTGCCCACACTGAATCCAGGGGGACCTCAAGACCAGCAGCCTCTGGGCATAATCTCTTGGATAATCGGTTATGCAGCAATAGATGCCCATCCAGTAGACACCACCCTGACACAGCAAACAGTCCGCTTCGAGGCAGAGGGAAGAAATGAAACCAACAAGACCAGCTTAGATAGAGGAAGAATTAACTGATTTCCAAGTCCTATTTCTGGATAGAACTGAAGTTCGGCTTAAGAAATCGCAAATCTAAAAACAGATAAAACAAGCAGACAGCCTGAATGCTTACTACTAACAGCATACAAATATACAGAAGAAGGTAAAAAATAGTTCAATTATACTGAAAAAATAGGTTGCATAGATCCAAGGAAAATTACTGAGCACATATTATGTACCAAGCATTGTACTGTATATTTAATAGACATGATCCTATTCAATTCTCAAAACAACACTCTTGGGTAGCTGGTAACACTCCCACGTTACTGGTGAAGAAATCGGAGTTCTGGAGACTAAGTGTCAACAGCTGTCAGTGGTGCTGCCGTTAAAAAAAACGAGAGAGCAATTCACGAAAACAAACATACTGCCAGTACCTTAAACCCAAGGATTGACAGCTTGGTTTCCCTAAAGTGTTGTTAATACTGGCAACCAAAAAAAATCTCCCTATTTTTCACTCCTTTCGTGGAGGAAGGGAGCAGAGGAAACAACGTTACAGTTTCTTTTCCACTATGAAGTCAGATTCCTGGTAAAAGGTGGCTGTGTTTTTGGGAGAAGTACCGCACTCTAGTAGAGAACCAGCAAAAAAAATGGGACTAACAGTGTCGGGTCAGTTTTCTGCTAGTCTAAAAGACAGAAAGGGTGTCTCAGAAGCATCTTCTGTCAAAGAAAACAAGAAGCTAGTGAGGAAATGATGTAGAAGAAAACTAATTAAGGTCACTGAGACAACTTCACAATATTGCTCCTGGAACAGCTCTGTTTGTCCATGAGTCAGACTGAGGACTGGCGCTCAGGGTGTGAGCTGGCGTCTGCAAATGCAGAGAAATGGACTCAGCAAGTGGAAGCAATTAGCTGCGGCTCGGGGTGGTGGCGAAGGGCCTTTTATCATGAGGAGTTCCGTGCATCTTCTGGGCAGTTTACCACTGGGAAGTGGTATTTGGCTGTAGAAGAGTTTAAACACCACATGCCTCAGTTTATACAGAGGCTTGAGAGAAAGTTTATGTTGCAGCCTGTCCACTGAATGAGTATCAAAATTCCATTTCTGTAATATTTAAGATGCAATGAGACCTTTCCACAACTGTTATTAAAAGGGGGATTCACTTAACTTTCCTCTTCAGTTCCCAGTAACATAATCTGGGCACTTGCAAGATACTAGATACAATTTAGAAGACTTTAACAATACTTTCAAAAGCGTTCTCAGGTATATTATCTCAGTGTATCTTCAAAACAACTCTGAAATGGGTAGAATAGACATCTAGCATTTTTTAAGGTAGAATGTTTTTTGAATTGGAGAAGAGACTGATAAAACTATGGCAATGAAAATGAATTTAGCAACTCTGAGTGGAAACTAATTAAACAGGGAATACAACCAGATCTGTCAAAGACGCTCCCACTGTGACCTCTCCTGCCAGCAGTCCACACCCCAAACTATTTAGGAAACCCAGACCAACTCCCATTATAGTGTCGAAGAGTTACAACTCACTGTGCAAATATTTGTACATTCAGGACCTCAAAAACCCCAGGTCTCTGGAAAGAACAAAAGGGCAGGAGGAAGTCCTCTCTGACCATGCTTACTCTCCCCTTCCCGATGAACAAGGCAAATGGCTGTCAGTACGTTAGAATTTAATAAGGCTCAGATTCCCAGGCAAAGAAGTGGGCTGTTAGATGCTCTTTTGAGTTTTAATGAACTCAGTTGGACCTTCATAATCATTACAGAGCATGTAAAAGAGGCAATGCAGGACCACTCAGGTGGAATACAGCTGATGGGGTTGCGACACATAAAAGTGGTATTTATCAAGACATAAAATCCTGGAGTGGGGAGAATCCTGAGGATCTTCTAAACAAGTTAGCTTATGTAACTTCTAAGGGCTTCAGATTTTTCATATTTAAAGTAAGAAAGTTAGACAAATATCTAATTCCATCAGCTACAACTATGACATCTGTGTCTCCTATACCCCATGTTTACATAAAACAATCAGTTCAGCTGAATTCTACCCAAGGAGCTTCTGCATACACCTGTTGTGCAGCTAACAATTTTGAACAAAGCCACTCTCATTTTTGTCTGGAAGAATAGATACGTAAACACGCATACACACACGCATATACATATTCATACATATGTATAAATTTATGCAACATTCAACTCCTTTCTTGATTTGAGGATTTTTAAGGTTACTAGAAATCAGTAACTACTTCTTCTTTCCCTAAACACCACCACAAGGAATCATTACAATTTAATAATAACTAGACGGTAATAATCATAACCTAATACTTCGTATTTAATGGAAGCTTTCTAGTGCCAGATACCACTCTAAGCACTTTATATGTATTAACTTGATTCTCACATCAACCCTATGAGTAGGGCACCTTCACAATACCTGTTACCCAGATGAGGAAACAAGCACAGAGAAGTTCAGTAATTTGTCCTGGCTACAGACCCCCTCATGGCATAGCCAGGATTCCCCTGCAGCCTGCATGCTTAACCCCCACACCATCCCACCTCTCATACTCATGGAGTAGCACAAGGGCATGAACGGAAGTCCTCGGCCTCCCCACTGGCCTCCTGGCCTCCAGCTTCATCCAGAGTGAGAGAGTCCTTGTTTGCAGGCAAAGGGAAACAGCAGTGTACACATCCAAACTCTTTCTGTCTCAACCACCCCTCCTCTGCCAAAGACCGCCCACTGGCCACTGCTCCGGCCAGAGGTGCCCACACACCGGTGGTGTCGCCCACACTGTGGAGGATGGGCCGGGAAAAAAGACCTGCGTGGAACCAGACTGTGAACTAATTAAAGCAGGGAATTCTGGAGCACTAGCCCTGCCGTCTAGATGGAGAAAAGTGGGCTCCAGGCTCTGGGTAAGGGGCTCTGTGACCTGTGGGACCCGAGGACCCGGGCAGAAGAGGGCTACAGAAGGCTCTTTAAGGCAGAGGACCAGAGCGCCAAGACTGAACGCAGTCCTGCCTTTGATATTCTGCCTCGCAGCCTGACCAGCTGTCGGAGAACACTGCTCTCGATACCTACTGATGTGAGGTTTGAATCTGCATTAAGTCAAATTTGAGGTCATTTTCATTAATGTTGATACTCTACATACCAGTACTTCAAAAATCATATAAAATTTTTAAGTCATCAGCACCAAAAAATCAGTAAAATATAAAGAATGAATATTATACCTCCCATTAGAAAAACACCTTTGGATGAAATGGGGGAATAGATACATACAGGAATATGTGATAGTGCCACGACTCTACATCCTCAGTGAAGGTCAACCTTTTAGACTTTGAACACCGTAGTGACTTAAAAGTGTCTGTAATGCCATTTTCAGTAGCTTAGAAAACCAAAAGCATCACTCCCAAAAGATAGATTGTATTCTGAGCTTGCTCCGAAAGGAGAGCTTTCTACATGACAACCGCAAGCTTAACAAACATGCCAGAAATGGAGACCAAGTTTCGTCTGATTACGTGAGACCAGACACCAACAAATAAATACAGTTCTATATTTCACTGCCATCGGGAAAAAAACACATTTAGAGATTGCCAGATTCATTAAAATAACATTTCAAATCACTTTCTCCTCTACTATATGAAATTATTCAACTGAGAAAACGTAATAACGGCCACTCACCGACTGTGAGGAACGCCTCTGCCCGCGTGGAGCCGTGCTCGTTTGCGGCCTCACAGACGTACCTCCCCGCACGCTCTCGAGCGGCAGCCCGGACACGGAGCACGCTTGAGCCAGCTCGGGACACGACAAAGTGGACGGGCTCCAGGTCCGGGGCCCCGGGTCTAAGGAAGTGTGATTTCCGGGATCTAGATCTGAGCACTTGAGCCGGATGGCTGGTTATCAGGCCGTGGCCGTCGTACCAGCGGATGACTGGCGCTGGCACCCCTGTGGCATTGCATGACAAAGTGACGAAGTCTCCGGCGGCCACCTCTGCACTGGCCGGTGCTGTGATTATAACCGGCTTGAATCCACTGTCTATTAAAAAAGTAATTCACATACAAAAAATTAAGAACATTATAGCATCTATAAGGCAAATAATTTCATCCTATTGCACACACATGATAGTAATGACAAAAACAAAGATATCTCCCTCATTCTTAGTCCCCTTCTCAACTTTCACCGAGCAAAACTGTCAACAAAAAGTAGAATTTTTCATAGCTGTGGATTCCTAGGCATTTCCTACATAGATTTCTTGTCCTTCAGAAAGAGAGAAATGTATGTAAAGAAATCTTTTGAGAGCTTTCCAATAGGGATACTATAATATTTGACCACTGTAAAGATAGAACATATAAAGCTGAAAGCTCAGACTCTAACAAGAAAAAAATATAAAATATAAAACTAGATAATATTCCTTCAAGAAAGTGGTCAGTCCAGGGAGGAGGGGGAAGGGGCAGGAATCTGATTATAAAAAGCCTGGGAGAAAAAACCTGCTCTAAATACAAGTTGATGCATACATTTCTTACCAATTTCTTATTATTCAGAAACAATATTTTTGTTGCTAAATTAAAGTGGCAGCAAGTCTTTCCTTTTGGTGCTCGCATTATCTGGTATTTTTTAGTGAGCCTACAATGGCATATCGATCAACGTACGTGACATCTCCTCCGGCTGTTCTCTCCTCTAGTCCTGCATCCCACGTCTGACGGGACCAACCAGTGGCATCAGATTTCTGGATTTTTGCCAAACTACTGAGTGTAAAATGTTATTTCACTGGTCAGAACCTGCATTTTCCGGAGCACTAATGAGGTTGCACATCTTTTCATGTGATTATGTGCCATTCATATTTTTCCTGCTCTGTGAAATGCCTTTTGTCAGTTTTTCTACTGGGTCATTTATCTTTTTTGTAATGGTTCAGAGTTCTTTGAATGCTGTTCTTTTGTTCAGTTCTGTGTGCTGCTAGTATCTCCTCCTAGTCCATTGCTTTTTTTTCAGTTTTTAATGGTGTCTTTTAATAATGAAGATTTTTCATTTCAATGTAGTCACATCTTTCTTAATGAGCACCTTTTAAAATGTCTTATTAAAAAGTTTTACCCACAGATCATACATTCTTCAATATTCTATTTAAAAATTTTTGCATTTTTTCTTTCACATTTAGGTCTTCAGTCCACTGGGAATTTATCTTTATATACAATGTGAGTCAGAAATTTAATTTTACTGTGTTCTCCATTTTGATAATCTGTTATCCCACATCAAAACTGAAAGTGGATGTCCCTCCCCTGACCCGTGCGATGCCGGCTCGGTCAGGTCCCTGCATGCGAATGTCTTTCTGGCAGTCTCCACCATGCTCCAAGAGTCTGCTTGTTCTTGCACCAGTACGACACTTTCTCAATTACTACACATTCTTCATACCTTTAAATCAAGTCTCCCACGTCCTTTTTCTTCTTCTTCTATAGCGCCTTAGCTGTTCTTGGGCCTCTGATCATCCATATAAATTTTAGAATCATTTTGTCAAGATCCTCAAAATATTATGATAGGATTTTAATTGGAATTTCATGACTCTACAGAAAATTTTTTGAAAGACCAGATAACTGCATATTACTGAATTTTGGTATTCATGAACCGGTATATCTTCCTGTGTAACTGGGTCCGCTTTACGGTTGCTAATATAAAAAGGTACTTTTTAAATTATATTTTCTGTTTGTTGCTGGTATATAGAAAGGCAACTGATTCTTTTTTTTTTTTTTTTTTTTTTTTTTTTGAGACAGAGTCTCACTGTGTTGCCCTGGCTAGAGTGCCGTGGCATCATCCTAGCTCACAGCAACCTCAAACTCCTGGGCTCAAGCGATCCTCCTGACTCAGCCTCCCGAGTAGCTGGGACTATAAGCATTTGCCACCATGCCCGGCTAATTTTTTCTATATATTTTTAGTTGTCCAATTAATTTCTTTCTATTTTTAGAAGAGACGGGGTCTCGCTCTTGCTCAGGCTGGTTTCGAACTCCTGAGCTCAAACAATCCGCCCGCCTCGGCCTCCCAGAGAGCTAGGATTACAGGCGTGAGCCACCGCGCCCGGCCTGGCAACTGATTCTTATTCATTGGTCTTCACCCAGCCACCTTGTTAAATGTTCTTATTACTTCCAATAATAAGATACACAATAATAATAGCCAGCAAACTATTTGGGATATTCTATGTTAACAATCATATCAGTTGTAAATTAATAACAATTTGGGTTCTTTCTTTCTTATTTCTTTTTATGTCTCCTTGTGCTCATTAGGACCTCCAATGCAATGATGACTGCAAGAGATGTCTCGCATTTCACCATTAAAAATGATGTTTCCTCTCTCATCATCAGGGAAATGCAAATTAAAACCGCAACGAGATATCACTTATCTCCAGTGAGAATGGTCTTTATCAAAAAGTCCCAAAACAATCAATGTTGCCGTGGATGTGGAGAGATAGGAACACTCATACACTGCTGGTGGGACTGCAAACTAGTGCAACCTCTGTGGAAAGCAATATGGACATACCTAAAGAGATACAAGTAGAACTACCATTTGATCCAGCAATCCCGTTACTGGGCATCTACCCAAAAGAACAAAGGCATTCTATAAAAAAGACATCTGCATTCAAATGTTTATAGGGGCACAATTCACAATTGCAAAGATGTGGAAACAACCCAAGTGTCCATCAATACATGAGCGGATTAATAAAATGTGGTATATGTACACCACGGAGTACTATTCAGCTATAAGAAACAGTGGTGATATAGCACCTCTTGTATTTTCCTGGATAGAGATAGAACCCATTCTACTAAGTGAAGTACCCCAAGAATGGAAAAATAAGCACCACATGTACTCACCAGCAAATTGGTTTCACTGATTAATGCCTAAGTGCACATATAGGAATAACATTTATCAGGCATTGGGCAGATGGGAGTGGGGAGGCGGGGACGGGTATATACATACACAATGAGTGCGATGTGCACCGTCTGGGGGATGGACACGCTTGAAGCTCTGACTGGGGGAAGGGGCGAAGGGCAACTTAACCTAAACATTTGTACCCACATAATATGCCGAAATAAAAATAAAATAAAATTTAAAAAAGTGATGTTTCCTGTAAGTTCTTGTTAGATACTCTTTATCAAGTTAAGAAAGTTCCCTTCTATTTCTACTTTTCTAAGATTGTCTAACATGGATACTGAATGACCAATGTATTTCTGCCTCTAGTGAGATAATCATATCACTTTTCTCCTTTATTCATTAAATAGGGTGAAAGACACTTTAAATTTTCTGATGGACTCCTGGGATAACTTCTTGGTCAAGATACATTATCTTTTTTCATTCATTCCTAGCTTGCTAATGTTTTATTTAGGATTTTTACACCCATGTTCACAAATCAGATTGGCCTTTGATTTTCCTTTCTTATACCACCCTTTTGTGATCAAGACTGAAGAGTTTCCATCTTTTCCTCTTCTCTGGAAGAGTCTGTGTAATATTTGGAATGGTCTGTTACTTGCAAGGTTGATAGAACTTCCATAAAACCATCTGGCATGACGTTTTCTTTGTGGGAAGATTTTTAACTCCTAATTCAATTTCTCTGATAGGTGTAGGACTATTCAGGCTTTTTTTTTCTTCTAAGTCACCATTGCTAAGTTATATTTTTCCTCAGAATTTCTCTATTTCTGTCTATATTTGTAAATTATTGTCATAAAGTTTATCATAATCTTAATTTCTGTAAGACTTGTACTTATCCCCCACTTTTATTCCTAATATTGTTTATTTGTACCAGCTTTCTTTTCTCGTGATCAATTTTGCCACAGATTTGTCCACTTTATTAGACTTTACAAAGGAACCAGTTTCTATCTTTATTGATCCTCTATATTTTATCTTTATTTTCTATGCAATTGCTTTCTGCCCTTATTTTTATTATCTCCTTTCTTCTGCTTTCTATGAATCTATTCTATCATTCTTTTACGTCACTCACTAATTTTCAGTCTTACTAGTTAAGGCTATAAATTTCCCTCTAAATCCTGTTTTGGCTGTCTCTCTCACAAAACTTGATCTGCAGCATTTTCATCCTCATTCAGTTCAAAGAATTTTAAATTTCCATTTTAATTTCTTTTCTGGTCCAACTATTGAGAAGTATAATTTTAAATTTCCAAGTACATGTCAGTTTTTTTAAAAAATTATGTTTTTATTATTAACCTTTAAATAAATTACACTAAGGTCAGAAAATGTGGTCTGTATCATGCTTATTCTCTGAAATTTGAAATATTTATAACTCATACCATAGACCAACAATCAATTTCCCTAATTATTTAAAAAATTCTCATAAATCAATAAGAAAAACGACCAATAACCTAATTTTTAAAATGGGCAAAAGACAATAAACAGTCAATACACAGGAATGCAAATTCAAAATGGCTCAAAAACATATGAAAAGATGCCCAACATCACTTATAATAAAAGAAATACAGATTAAGAGGTACTTTTTTTTTTTTTTTTTACCTATCAGACTGGAAAAGATAAAAAAAAAATTGATAATACCCTGGGTTTGTGAGGGTCTGAGGATATGGCAGTGTTATACCTTGCTGGTGGGAGTTTAAAGTGGTAATAATTACAGAGATTAATTCAGTAATATCTACCAAAATTACCAACACATATATGGTTTTATTCTACACGTTCCTTGCTATGAATTTCTTTTATAGGTACTCACACATGTGCAAAATACTCTTTATAGAAGGGCATTCACTACAGAGCTACTTGTAATGGCAAAAGATGAGAAACAGCCATCAATAAGATACTAGTCCGGGGGTGGGGAACCTGCGACCTTAAGGCCACATGTGGCCTTACAGGCCCTTAAGTGCGGCTTTCTGAGTCGCACGGTGATAGAGTAACTTTCTTTTAGCAACAATGATTTCATTTTTAACCACAACGAAAGCCCCTCATCAGTAAAGTAAAATTTCCTGTGATTACATGAACTAAAAGCCTACCTTTTTCAATTTCAAGTCTTCCAGTAGACTGCATAAATCCAATCCCGTTATCTGCCACACACTGATACAGCCCAGTATCTTCCATAGTAACGCCACTGATTTTCAGTCCATTTCCTGCAGTTAGATGTCGTGGGGAAGGATGAATGGGCTGAGCATTATGAAACCAGGTACGGTTGGGGGATGGGTTCCCATGAACATCACAGGTAAAGTACACTGTGGCGCCCAGAGACACTATGTGATCCTGCAGTCCTTTAGAAATTGAAGCGTGTTCTGAAAATAAAACATACAAATTAAACTCTAGCCCTCAAGATGTACTTTTTAAATTATCACACAAGTCATATAAAATCTTCTCTCTACCAATAACTTAGTTGAAATCAAGTTGTTTGTTCACATTCTTCTGTCTTCTGTGGTCACCAAGAAAAAATCAGGAATGCATTTTAACTTTCCATTAATAGGATGAACCATATGTTACTAATAAGCCTTTCATAGATGGCTCCGCCCACTTAACTCCCCAAAACCCACGGACACACACACACATACACAGATAGTTTCTAATCCTGGGGGTTTCTCCTAGCACTTATTTCAGGTGATTAGTATGAAATAAAGAAACAGTTTCCCTGGATTTCACACTGAACAAGAGCCAAAACAGAAGAGTTTCTTCAGAGGTTAAATTATTTTTATGGTTAATTTTGCTTTAAGGTACAGTGTAAATAAAAAGGGGGAAAAAACACACCTTCTTTTAGGATCTATAAAATCTATTTTTACCCAAAAAAGTAAGTCACTTATTGACATCTGTAGCATATGCTTAAATTAAATGATTATGCATGTTAATCCAGTTCTGATTATCACTGAATTTTAAAGCCCATCTGCCATATACTTACATTAATTCCAGTGTTGCTAACCTGCATCAGGCCATGGTTGTAAATAAACACATGCAGAGGGCTTACAAAAATTATGTTTACTATGAAACCACTTCCTACCCATTTTTCTCTGGTTTCATAAAAATATGTTTTGATAAAGGAAAACATTCTCTGCTGCCACACATGACTGTGAGATAGGTAGCTGGTTGAAAAGGACTAGCTCTGGGCCGCGCGTGGTGGCTCACGCCTGTAATCCTAGCACTCCGGGAGGCCGAGATGGGAGGATCGTTTGAGCTCAGGAGCTCGAGACCAGCCTGAGCAAGAGCGAGATCCCGTCTCTACTATAAATAGAAAGAAATTAGCCAAACAACTAAAAATAGAAAAATTAGCTGGGCACAGTGGTGCGTGCCTGTAGTCCCAGCTACCCGGGAGGCTGAGGCAGGAGGATCACTTGAGCTCAGGAGTTGGAGGTTGCTGTGAGCTAGGCTGACACCATCGCACTCTAGCCCAGGCAACAGAGCAAGACTCTGTCTCAAAAAAAAAAAAAAAAAAAAGAAAAGGACTATCTTGAAATAAAGTGTATTTATAGAAATGTGAGTGGAAATAATGCAAATTTTATGAGTCAAACATAGGTGAAACCATCCCAAAAGGGAAAATAAAATGAAACATCGATTTCTTTCTGAGATGACATTTTCTAGTCAGCATTCCATCTTCGTTACAGCTACTGGATACTACACCCAGAGACAGCCCAGAACCTTACATTCTACTGATTTCCATTTTCTTTCCTCTAGGTCATGAAGAAGGGAGAACAAGCTCTGAATTATATAACTAGGTTGGGGTTTAGGTTCCCAAGAACATTCCATGTGAGATGTTCTGTGAGACCCAGAAATGCAGCCTAACTCAGCTCTCCTTTAGAAAAATGGAGGTGTCCTGGCTACAGGTGTAGACATTTCTAGATATTTCCAATTTCATTGTTGTTCACAAATAGATCTTTCCTTCAAACATCAGTTAGATCAGAAAAACGGCTTCATTTGAAAAAACATTTGATAAGCAACGTCTTACCAAGCACAGTAACCATGTAAGTCACATGTCTCAAGTCTCCAGACTTACTCCTCACCACGCAGGAATAGTTTCCGGAGTCCACCGGGTCGATGCTGTCTGTGGCGAGATGGGAATACAACCTTCTCCAGGTGCTTCCCGGCACGACGTCCTGCCCGTCCCTCAGCCAGCGCACTTGAGAAGCAGGGACCCCGCTCACCACACACTCCAAGGTGACAGGGCTGCGGGAAAGAACAGCTAACGCCTGCGGAAGGGTGGGGTGAAGAATGTGGAAACCGTCTGAAGAAGGGCCTGGGGAAGGAAAAGACACCAGATGGTCAGGAAGTGTTCGTGTCCGATCCTTCCTCAGCAAAGCTGTGCATCCCCACACTCCCATTTAGTCCTCTTTATGTTATAAGGCCCTGTTTGGGAGCTAAATCCTCTTTAGCTGAGGATTAAAATTAAAAGATTTTGTAGCCCTTAGCAGTTTGGAAATGTAGATTTCTCAAATTCAGAAGCCACTCCTCTATCGTACCCTGACTGTTGGTGCTTCTTCAGCTCAACCACTGTCATCTAAAAATCAGCAATGATTTTTTACTATATCTGAAAGAGGGAGGACAGATCTTTTTTTTCCATAATGTACAGCTAGCCACCAATTTAATCACCACTGCGATAAAGTTGCATTTCTTCTATAATTTCTTCTTGCTTTAGTGAAGGGCAAAACTCCCCATAAGCATTTACTCTGCCACCTTGACCCAAATTCCTCACTATAAATTGTTATATTTTTAAAACATGTACAGTGCTAGTCTATAATACATTGACATATTTACTTTTTTCTGGTAAGGCTTTCTTTTGATAAACAAACAGGATCCAAAAGAACAACAAACTCTCATTTCCCAACTTTTTACGAGGAATATTTTTGAGGGCTCTTCCTTTTTCTAGTTGCCATCATTCTCCCAGATACTTACGACTCACAAGGAGCTTTCGGCCAATGGGTTCAACTTTTAATTCATGTGTGACGGGATTATAAACTGCACATTTGTATGATCCCTTGTCCTCTAAGGATACATTCAAAATCTGAAGATTCCCCGATGGAAGGATTAAGTAATTCTCTGGGGAAGGAAGCAAGTTCAGTTAGGCCCCTCTCCCTCTGCGATGAACATCACAACTAGAACTAACAAAGCTTAACAGGCGTGCTTTAAATTTAGCCACGAGACCAGCAACAGAGAAGCAATCAAGGAAATTTCATTCCATGGAAGAAAGGGAAAGTAGAAGTAGAAAAGAAAAAAAAAGTCGACAGTGTTAGCCTATTGAAATTAAGCCTAGGGGAAACATTGCAATAACAGAGGGTGAATCTCAAAGTACAGGAAACATGCTCAAAGACACAATGACCACAGCTAGCACCTGAGCAAACCTCTACCTAGAGCACTAGTCACACCGTACTCATTCATTTTCTTTTTCAACTAATACATATCAAGTGCTATTTTCTGCTAACAATGGCCCAGGCACAAGTGATACAGCACGGAAAAAAGCAGACAAAAGCCCTGCATTCATGCAGCCAGCATTCCAGTGGGGGCCAGGGAGTGGCAAAGAGAGGGGTATAGAATAAACAAGCAAACTAAGACATGTGTGACGGAAGGGCAGGTGTGATCAAGTCTATGAAGAAAAACGAAGCTGAATAAGGCGACAGGTGGCAGGGCGTTTATCTTAGGTAGGGCCATGAAGGCAGTCTTCTCTAAGGAAGTGGTGTCTCAGCAGGACCTGAACGAATTTAGGGAGCGAGCCCTCGGGGGAGGGGCTGTAATCACTTACATATTGTAACCCTTCCTTTTGGCCTTCTCCCCTTGACTGCTGAGAGCACAGACAATATAGTACTATCTCATGCATTCTTGCATCCACAGTCCCTAGCACACAGAGGCTATTTAATGAGCATTTGTTCTGCATGCACCATTGGCTTTCATAAAAGGTCTCACCTGTGGAATGTTTCAGCCATTTTCCCCGGATTTTATAGCGCACCTCAGCTTTGGGGTTACTCTCTGGTACCCTGCAGCCAATGAAACCAGTATTTTTTTCTTCTGCTGTAATAACATGCTTTGTGGATGAACCAAAATCACCAAGAACTGCAATAAACAAGTAGATAGATAGATAGAGAGATACAAATTCAAATTATATTTCCCAAAGGAAATTGAAAAATTAGGAACAATGTCTGCAGTATGGCCTTTTGTGGCCTCTAACCCCAGTCCAGAGGGCAACATGATCTTTTCATTTCAGAAAGCAGCTGGGGCAGAGATACACGGTTGAGGGCTGAGATCTAAGTCACGGCACCCTTTTTCTAAGTCAGTGCTTCCAGGAGACCATAAAAATACTAACTGCTCCTAAAATGTCTAGGAGAACTATAAAAAATAATTATTCCCATTCTGTCAAGATAAATCCTTCTCAACTCAGTCCCCTCGTCAAACTCACTCTCCCTGTGAGTCTCTATTCTCTTTGTAGCTGCTCACGTACGTAGCAGTAAAATGGTTTCTGGGATGAACCCAGGACATCAAAAAGCAAAGCCATAAATCATTCAGGTTATCTGGGTGCCCTAATCCGGTCTCAGCGCCTCCCTTCAGGAAGGGTCTTCACTGTCTCCGGTGCTCTCGGCGCTCGGCGCCTGCCACCAGGAACTCAGCTCTCCAGGGTGTGTCCGGGAGCTGCCCAGGGTCACAGCTCTAGAAAAACATTTACTCTTCTCAGTTATGACAAACTCACTACTCCCGGGGAATACAGATCCGTTCTGTAAATAGGGTTCCCTTACAAAGACATTACTGGAAGCCATCACCGTTTGAAAGGCAGATTAGCTCAAACTTACTACGAAAAACCACGCATTCCAGATTTTCTGTAAGTTCAATATCAACATTCCTTTCTTTACAGTCAGTTATTATTTTCCTGCTTCTTTAGCCTTGTTTCAATTAAATAAATTAAAATGGCTCAATAATCAAGGCAAGTAAAACAATTAGACATGAAAGAAAGACAAAGGACTGCACAAAATAACTGAGTGTCAAAGTAGACAACAGCTCTTTTAATGTTATCGATATGAAGGACTTTTATTAAATACGTAAAAGGAAATCGTCCAGAATTCACATTAGAAAACTGTCCTGCGTCACTTGAAAAAAAAGAGAGAGAAAAACCATTTCCATACCGTTGTTACAGAAGAAGACACTAGGCCAGGCTAACAGAGTTCAAGTACATTTCCCCCAAATTATACAGTCAGAGTCAAGGCTGGGGCAAGAACTCCTACATGTCTCACACCAAAGCCTGTACTCTTCCCACTATTCAAACATACAAGTGCTAACAGTGATTTCATGTTCAACAGAGACAAAACTAAACTCACTTGCAGTGGATACCGTTGCCGGGCCGCTCACAATCGCACCGACGCTGTTGTTGGCAACGCATTGGTAGGAACCCGAAAGGGAGGGGCTCAGAGAAGAAATCGTCAAAGTCCCCCCATGGATCTGAATATGTTCCATGTTTCTGTCCAATCTTTTTCCATTATGCAACCATGAGATATGAGCGGTCACAGGTTTAGCAGAACAATGTAGTACTACGGGTCCACCGAGTTTCTGGATAGCAGAGAGTGGCCCAGAAATAAAATAAGGTGCCAAGTCTACAAGGGAACATTCCCCGTGTGCAAAGAAACGGGGAGGGGGTGACAGCGGGAAAGAGAAAGGGAGAGAGAAAGAAGAGCACATTAAACACGTTTCATCTGCATCTTTATAACTAAAGGTGAGCTCTTATTTCATCTGTGTATGTTATGGTTCTTGATACTTGTAAAAGTTCTAGCAAAATTCTTCTAAGCCTATTTTGGGGAAGAAAAAAAGGGCAACGTGTTAACTTAGGACTTAACAATTAGGGTAGAAGAGATGAAAATGCTTATGATGTAAATCAAATATAATATAAATTCTATTAATGAGAAATAACAAACTGCTTTTTTAACAAAGTGACTTGTAAAAGTGGAAATTAAGAACCGGAAAAAGTGAAGATGACTTTCCAAATAAAAAGAATTTTCTATTTTACAATAGGATTTGACTTACGAGAGAGCAAGTTATTCCATAAATGAAGGCTACAGCATTTCTTGAATACTTCCCTTTAACAAAAAATAATGTTCAACTTTTAAGAAAACAGAAATAAAAAGTTAAGAAGCCACAACTAAAATACAAAGTCTATCCCTCCTTCAATATAAGGCTTAATATTTTTATTTGGTGTTTGAAATAGCTTCATTTGTTATGTCTGTTCCTCCAGGAACTTGGACAGGGGGTGTTCTTGCACTAATGTATCAATACAGAGTCTCCTCTCATCCAAAGGGAAGAGGGGAGCAGGAATACTATTCATCTGGTGGAATAAAATACTTAATAAGGAAAAAAATCAATAAATTACTGAATCTACTTTTACAGGATATTTAATCAGAAATGAAGATTAAAGAACATGCCACTCTTGGCTGAATCTGGGGGGTTGTTTAGCAAAACACAAACAAATAAAACTATTAAATCAATTTGTGCCTTACCAAATCTAATATACAGTATTTTAATGGATTATATATATATAAATATTACTCAATGAATATACATCACTGTATTTGTATACACTTACATGTCCATTTTTACGTAACTCTAAAATAAAAAGAAATACATGTGGCCTATGTATTAGGCTTAAAGTTTATATATACACTTAACAGTAAACAAATTTGAGCTTTTCAGGAACCCAAAGAAGCACCCAGTAAATTAGGCAAGGTCATGAAAGAAAGTGGCACACTTGGGCTTTGAAATAAGTTCTCTCTCTCCAAGTTGAATATTACACCATGCTGACTGTAAAACTTCTCTTTAGTGGTATGTATTTAGCATTTTATTCCTGTTATCATTTCCAACTCAAAAATTTACAACATATCCTCTTATTGAAAAAAGTGTGATCAGAAAATATTTAATTTTGAGGCAACAAAAGGAATAAATTACAAGGAGAAGAATGAGACGGCCTGCTAATGCCCAAGTACTACCAAGAGATCCTTTTTTTTTTTTTGCAGAAAGAGTCTCACTTTTTCACCCTGAGTAGAGTGTAGTGGCGTCATCTTAGCTCACTGCAACCTCCAATTCCTGGGCTCAAGCGATCCTCCTGCCTCAGCCTACAAGCAGCTGGGACTACAGGCGCAGGCCACCGTGCCCAGCTAATTTTTTCTATTTTTAGTAAAGATGGGGTGTTGCTGTTGCTCAGGCTAGTCTCAAACTCCTGGCCTCAAGTGATCCTCCCGCCTCAGCCTCCCAGAGTGCTAGGATTACAGGTGTGAGCCATTGTGCGCAACCCAAAGAGATCCTTAAATTGCTTAATTAATCAAGTTTTTTAATCATATAGCTGGTAAAAAAAATCTTAGAAACATCTTTAGAAACCACTATTATCAGCTGGGCATGGTGGCTAATGCCTAGAGCAACCCTGTCTCTACAAAAAAATAGAAAAATTAGCTGAATGTGGTGGCCTGCTTCTGTAGTCCCAGCTAGTCAGGAGGCTGAGATGGGAGGATCGCTTGAGCCCATGAGTTTGAGGTTGCTGTGAACTGTGATGACACCACTGCACTCTAGCCCAGACAACAGAGTGAGACCCTGTCTCTCAGCAAAAAGAAAGAAAGAAAGAAAGAAAGAAAGAAAGAAACCACTATTATCAGCAATGCACTGAAGGTAAAACTTGTTCCTTATAGGATTAAGATGATGAAAGGCTTCAACCAACCCCCACCCCCATTCTTCTGTTCTTACCTGAACTCACAGAAGAGCACAGTATTGCAAGAGTAACATACAGCGGTATCCATAAGGATCCAAGATCTGGAGGCATAGCGTCAAATTACAGAAGCAGGCAGGACAGATTTCTAGAGCGAAACTCAGGTCTTGGCTCACTGAGAAACATTGAAAAAGAAAAAAGAAAAAAAAAATCTAAACCACAAAAATCATTGCAATCTTTCACTTGAACAGCTAGAGTTGTAAGTACGGTGGCCGCCATCTATTTCGAAAGTTCTCTATAGATTATGACAAATACAAAGCACTTATTGATCCACATCTTCCCAATTCACAAACTGATGTCTAGACATTAAATTGGAGTTAGAAGTTTTATTCATTCTTCCCAGGTGCCAGGCTACCTCTTACTACACAGAACTACTCATTCCAAACGAATACATCTGACAGTGCATTTCTATTTATGTATCTCACAAGCATATAAAACTCAACACAACTAACATGAATTCCTCCTCTACGTTCCCCCAAATAGTAACTAGAACAAAAACAACAAAGTAATAGCTAACACATATACGTGCTTACTACGTGCCAGACACCATTTCAGTGCTTTTAATACACTAATCTCCACGACAACGTGATGAGATAGGCACTACTGGTTTTCTTCCCTTTTTTCAGATGAGGCCCTCAGGCTCACGGACTGTTCAAACAGAAAGAACACCAAGGGCAAGCCTGTGATGGGGTTGAGCCAGACACTTTGGTGAGAGTGGAATGAGCCAGAAAGAGAGCAGGAAGGGATGAAGTCAGGTCAGAGACGAAGGCTAGGCCAGGTCACACCCAGCTTTCAAGGCCATGCTAAAGACTGCAGGGGTTTGTTCTAAATGCAACAGCAAGCCCTCGGAAGACTTGGAGAAGGGGTGTGATATGATCTCATTTATGCTTTAAAGAGATCACTGGCTGGTGGAGAACAGACTGGCGCCGGGCAGGAATGGAAGAGGGAGGCCGAGCAGGAGGTGCTGTAACCACCCAGGGGACAGATGAGGACACGGCGGGTTAGAGCAGCACGTCAACCGTGGAGGTGGTGAAAACAGTTGTATTCACAATATGGTCTAAAGGTGGAACCAACTGGATGTGCTGAATACGGCTTGGATACGGAGTGTGGGATAAAGAGGTGTCAAGGGTAACTCTGGGGTTTTGGTGAAACAGTAATAGCTCTGTTCACTGAAACGTGGCTGACTGGACAGGAGAGGGGTAGCCAGCAGTTCTGTTCTGGCGAAGGCGAGTCTGGGATATCCCAGTACAGCGGCCAAGCTCACGGCGGCACGTGTGAGTCTGGAGCTGCGAGGAGAGTCGAGCTGGAAATGTCGATTTTAGACGTACAAAAGCCTCGCCACTAGCTGAGCCCTCTCTCAGGACAGTATGTTTAGAGGATTGAGGAGAGGAGGAGAGGAGAAGAGAGACCAAGGAAGAGCCTTGGGGCAGTGCAACCATTAGAGGCTGAATAGAGAAGGAAGTAGCAATGGAGACTCAGGGAAGGCAGTCAAGGAAACAGACGGAATCCAGGAGAATGCTGTGGGAGAAAACGAAAAATATTTCTAGAAGAGTGATCGACGGGCTCAAACACCGATGAGACATCGTCAGAAAGGCCCAATGGAGAGCACAGGTGGTAGTCACAAGAGTGGTCTCAGTAGAGAGAGAACAAGAACGTGTGGTGGGATCAGGGTAGAAGGAGAAGGGAGGAGACTCAGGAAGCGGGGGCAGACCACTCCTTCGAGGGTTTTCTATACAAGGGCGGCAGAAGACAGAATTGCTGAACACCGGTGGTAGTCGGGGCTGGGGGGGCATTATATTTTTAATATAGAGATAGTGTGGCACATTTAGCAAAATTTTAAAAATTTCACAAAACTTAGCACTGGCAAAGATGTGGGTAAACATCACTATTATATTGTTGATGGAAATACAATCAGTAAGTTCTTTTTGAAGGTAATTTGGCAGTATCTATCAAAAATCGTTCATTCATGCAACATATTTATTGAATGCTTATCATAGGTACTATTTTAGAAGCTGGAGATTCAGCAATTAAAAATATCTAAATAAAAATAAGTAAGTCAGACAAAAATTTATACCTGTATTCAAGTGGGGCAGATGGCTAATAAACAAGATAAATAAAATTAGTAAAATTAACAACATCCATGCCGTCCTTCAGATACAGTTAATTCTTTCTCTTCTGTGCCACCTCTGTACCTTGGACGTGTATCTGTCAGTGTACTCATCACTCTGTTGTGTAACTTATCTGGTCACATAGCTTTGACTTCTTTGAAGGCAAGAATGACATTATTTTAACTCTGTAAAATTCTAATGCCTAGCAGAAAGTGGGCACTTCATAAATGTTTCTTAAACTGAGTGGACTACCTTAATATAATGCAGTTCCCAGAAGTACCTTAAGAAGTAGTATTTAGTAAGAACTGCCATCTTATCTGAATTCAGCATATTCTAGCTATATTATTTATTCCTTCACTCATTTATTCATTCATCTGTATAATGTTAAAAATCAGCAAAAATACAGTGAGTGCCTGCTATAAACCAGGCACTATGCTAGACTAGGGTACTGGTGTCTGAAAATTCGGCCCCACATTCCCGCTTAGCCAGAGCTGCACGATGGACCTATGACTGTGGTGCTGTAATAATGACATTTCAGAAATGAGAATTTCATGAGCATTTTCATTTATGCAAAGAAAGGTTAATCCTAACCATTAATAAAATTGGGTAGTAATACAGCGCAAGGCACCCCAAGCACGGCTCTCAACAAATCAAACAGTGTCTCCCAGAACCTGCTCGTCGTCTCATGCCAGGTAGCCCGAAGTCTCAAGGTTCCAAACTCAAGTTTATCCAGGTCATGGTTAGCAGGTCATGGACCCTTTTCAGATTTTTTCTTGCCGATCTCTTTTAAAAATTGAGAGAGGACATCCTGGCACCACTCACCGGCAGAAGAGTCCAGCTGTGTGAAAACTTTCTGGTTTATTTGAACTCTTGCTCAGTCCAGGGCTAGGAGCTGACGCGGCAGTGGTGAGCGGTCAAGGCCAAGTAAACACCCCCAAAACCTGATAACAGGAGACAGTTCCCTGAGAGAGCAAGGACAAGAAGGATTGTTTCTTCCTCTTGCCAAATCTTTCTTCAACTATTTATTTATTAAAAAGCAGTGAAACAA